TTTTTAAATTAAAAGTATTAATTTTAGACGCGTTAAAGGGCAACTGCAATAAAGGCACTTGTTAAATATATGTTAGCGCGTCATAAAATCAACAAAGAATTCATAACAAACTAGCTAGGAAGCGTTGAACTTACTTAAAATTTCACCTCTTTTTGGTTTTACGCCTAAAGGGCCAACATTCATAACTTCCGCTTTCCGTTGAAGTTTCCAGAATAAATAAAATATTGAATAATGAAAACTATTTTCATAAACATAGACCACCTGTCGTATTACGCGGTAGTGTATGATCTGTAGCTCTGAGCCTGGGTTCAAATCCCGGTCCCAGCACCAATGGTATTGCTAATTTTAAATGCTAACTTATCACTTGCTCATTGGTGAAACGAACCGTCGTGATGAAGACTGCATATTTGCAAAATAAAAACAAAAAAAATGTTTCAAAGATATATTATACGTGAAACTATTAGGTAATTGACTTTATTTTATGTTTGACCCATTAACGAACATTGTTTTAATCCGCTACGTAATAATATTATGAGTTTGATGTTTCTGTCTGTGTATTTGCTGTCCTGAGTCAACACGATGAAAAGATATGGGTAAATTTAGATTTTAGCGAAAACTTGTATTTTGTTTGAAAGCTGATTCGATCGAGATTGTTCGTCGCTATAATATATGAAGATCTATTGATTGAGGCGTTTGAATAATCATCAGCTCATTTCCTATCGGGCCATTCCTAAAGGGCCTTACTATCTTACACAAATCCGATTGATTTGATATTTGTTACACTGTTACATCGGTGGTGTCTCGATGTTATGCCAACCTTGAGCTGATGCGGTAGCAACAAATAGACTGTGGGATGCAATTCCTCAGAAACTTACAATACATTTTTCAGTGTGTTTGGGCTGATAAGAATAGTCTCAATGAGAAGATAATGATTGAGGCCACTTAGTACGAGTACATGTAAACATGCAAGCAAGCATCTGTCAAGGCTCCGGCGCTGTTTACGTTTTAGACTTTTTATTTCGAAGGGGTACTTTAAATTATAAATTTTTTACAAAATTTTTCATGAAACCCTAGTTCAAGTAAAACAAACATAAGCTATTGTATACGTGATAAGTATGAAGCGTCAGTTATAAGATCGTGTAACAAATTTACAAATAGAATGTCACGTTGACGGTTCCCGCGCTGTGAACCGCGTGTTCCATCTCAAGAGCACTAGCATTAACCATCTGTGGCGGTGTTGTCGTCACTTACCGCGCACTCAGCTCCCGAACGTGCACTGCCCCGGCAAATAGATCCCTATTTATATGCCCGTAGATGATGAATTCGATTAGTCGAATACCGTTGCGTTCGATGGCCCATATTTTCCGTAGCGTCTGATGAGATGTACGACAACTGTAAGGTTGTGTTATAACTTCTTTCTTTATTATTTATTGTTACAAAAATACGGTTACAAATGAAGTATTAACAATTGCATTGGTGTCGGCAGCGGGAATTGAGATCAGGTTGATCGAATGTATTGACCTCTTTTAATTTAGGTAAGTCTGGAGTAAGCTGCTACTGTAAGCACTATACAGACAAAATACAGAAGAGCTTCGATAATCCGTACCTGCCCCCTTTCTATCTAGGCGTCCCACTGTCTCTGCAGTATGTGTTTCTGCAGTAGCGCTATCTTCTATTCCGAATGTCAATAACATTATCCGTTCACAAGCTATGTATACAAAACATGCTCGGACAAGGCTGACGAAATTGACCTCTAGATATGGTTGCTTCGTAAATTGAGAGATAAAGCTTTTTCTTGGTGAATAAACAAAACTTACCGTATTCAAATAGACAAGGCTAAATTAACATCTAGTTCTAGCTAATTAACATCTAGTTCTAGTTCTAAGTTCATGAATTATAACGAACCGAAACATTATTTTTTGTATGTAAGCGGTGGCAAGGGAGCTGGCGGTTCACCTGATGTTAAGTGACGCGTTTCAATTAATTGGGCCCCGGTTAGCTCACTTACCAAACGAAACGCAGTAATACTTGCACTTCACGCCGGTCTTCTGTTAGCTCTTGGTACTATTAGGTGGTACACAGTGAATAAACACAACTAGTTGTATACTACTTAAATAAAAAATAAAATTTAAAAAGTATACGGAATATATTATAACGTTGCGTTATTGTTTATATGGACTAACGTAATGTCTCATGTCGTTAAATCGGCTAATAAATGGTTTAGTTATTTTTAATGCCCCTAACGACTTACAACGTTATCATTAAAAAATTTAAACTGGATAAATTACCTAATATAAATATGTTCCTTGCAGGAACCTAACTCCATCCAGCTATTGAATTCTAATAATCTATTTTAGGCGATGACATTACTAGTACTCCCAACAATAGCCCACGGTTCTAAATCAATAAGGCGGTCGTAATTAACTAAGAACAACCTCTTCGTAGGTCTTTTGGATAAGTTCTTTATGACGTAATCATTGTAAGAAAACACAAATTAGTGATATGAATTCATCCAAATGATATTTATTGTGAAATCACTTAAAGTTACGTTTTCCTTAATAATAATAAAGATAATTTCTTTTTTAAAAAACATTTATTTTTATATTAGTGATACTTTTCTCACATAAATTTGATGCGGCCTATCCATCGTTAAAAGTAAGAAATGTATAATGCACAATAAATTTAACTTAACAGTCTTATATCGTTATTCGAATGGTCATTTTAAAATTGTCATCCACTTTGAGGGTAGTCAACGAATATATATTATCGTAGATTAAACTACACTTAGATTTTAACTTTAGCTGCATTGTTTTAGCGATTACATTGGAGCGCGCACTCTGCAAAATGATTTGTCGGTCATGAAGCGGCTGTTCAGGACCCCACATGGATCGGTTTTTTGTCGTTTACTATTTCTGTAAGCAGATGGCTTTGTTTCCCAACTGTGCACGTGGCCGTGTGGGACGTCGTTTAAATCATTATGGTGTTTAAGATCGTATTTCACAGCACACGTCGGAAGTTGAGATGGCTTGGAAAATGTGGGGAGGCATGCGTGATTCTGTACTAATGTAATTTATTGAACAGAATATTTAAATAAACACTATCTTAATTACACGTTACCTAACAAACCTCTTGAATAGGCACGGTGCCTAAAATGGTTGATGTATGACCTTTGAGCGAGAAAAAACCAATCCTGCTGTCGCTGGCTGCACCAATAATGTTTATTTAGGACATAATTCTCCAAAATAATTTTTAATTTTGAGTAAATAACGAAAAAAAAGACGCATACGTCGTATATTACGTTCATTTGTAGGTACATTTTAAACTATGAAGACTTCTTATATTTTCGAATTTTATCTCGTTTGAGACAGACAGCATATTCCGTATGAATACTCTAAAGCGAACAATTGGTCGGAAATTAAAAAGCAAAATAAAATTATTTATCCTATATCACTTCTCTGTCATGGTTTAATCCTTTTTTTTATATTTTTTAAACATTGCCCTTACTTTAGGATAACATTATTCTGTGTTGTAAGGACGTTTTACAAACATAAATTTCACGCGGACGAACACCCAGATGCGAAACAACTATCTGTGGATAACAAATAGTTGTCTCGTGTGGGAATCGTACCCACGGCCCCCGACGACGAAGCTAACACCTTGGCAACTGGGCCACGGAATCATCAAATATAATTATACATGATTATATACTTGTCGTATAATCATTAAAGAGATGTCCGTTAAACGTAGCTTTGAGTCGTAAATCGACACCAGGAATTAATTTGTGGCTAATCTATCATCTTTAGAACTATCATATCTAGCTGGTTCTATTCTTAACGTTATTTTTGCGATTCTAGAAAACAGTCAATTTCTTAATACAGGTTGTATTTTTATTTGATAGATATATAATATATATATAATATGAAGCGTGTTCCCGCCATGTGTGGCATTCGACGAATCTACAAATGAAATGAATATTGCGTGGACACATCATCGATCTACGTTTAGCATTTGCATCGCGTAATCGCGGGTAGTTTCGAATTTGCAAACAATTACCCGACGCAAAGTGTGTACCCTTGCAGAAAGGTACCCTCAGTTGTGCGCTCGGCTCGTCGCAGCCCCATCCGATATTTATCACAGAAGCGAAATCACACAAAGGGCCGACCCCGTTTGGATATTCGCCATCGAAGTGGCGAGACACGTTTTATATTTAGTGGCGAAAGCGGTAAGGACCGTCGTATATTCGGGGAATGTTTTACTGTAAGCCGGCCGGCTATGTGGGTCATGTTCTTATTGGTAACTATATTTAGTGTGAGGTCGAATGAGATTTTATGAAAATATAGTTTATATATTTGGTGTGTAAACAAAGTGTATATTTTTGGTTCATCAGGATCTTTTTTTAGTTCGCTTTGCTTGTTGGTGTTCGTTGTTTGTAACACGTCAGCTGTTGTATAACTGCCGAGTGTGGAGACCAATTATATTATAAAAAAATACGAGGTATATATATGATACTAGCGTACAGAAACTGAGGCACTTAAATTACGCCAATCGGTGTAATTAAACTGCAATTCTATAGACTGCTATCTCTTTCCGTATCACACGTTCTATATCATCTGTCACATTTGCTTAAATATGTCATATAATGTAAAGCGGAACAATTTTTAAACGCCGCGCGCAGTACGGACATGCGTTAATTGCTCGAGACTGTCCGATTTGCTTTCAATGCCAACATACACATCGATACGTTGTCAATTATAAATAAAACGAAAACAATAAACGAAGAAAGTGTAAATTCGCATCATTCTTCACTTTTTTAATTTATAACGTCCTTGTATTAAGTGCCTCCAAATGGATCCGTGATACGTACGTAAGAATTATAAAATTTCTGCTAATAAATGTGTTGTTAAATGAAACAATAGACCATTGATAGTGCCATTGTGATTTCCACCAAAGTGCATGTGTCGTATAACGCCCAGTGTCGTTTAAAATGTGATCCGGACGCAATGGTGATGCTGAGAAGGTTACCGGTAAGTTGGCTTTGGTGTAAGTCGATCAGTTGTAAAATTCCCATTTTGCATTTCTGCAATACGCTATATTAAATTTTATGACGAATTATTAAGTTGGAATTTTGAAAAGAATATTTAGTACTTATGATCATTTTTAGCTTATCGCACCTAACACAATCTCTATCCCCCGCGTTGACTGGGAGAGAATGCCCAAATGGCATTGAGTCCGTCTTTTGTAATCCCTTTTTTAAGGTTTTGCAATAAAGCATGAAGAAATAAAAATGCGACAATTATATATGTATAAATAAAAAGGTCAGTGTCACCATAGGATTTCGTAGTCGATGATATACATTAATGTGATATCTTTGAAGTTTCAGTTGCTCCTAGCTTTTCTTTGAACAGAGATTTGTTTTTATTTTTTAATATTTAAGGTATAAAGTATCTGTTTGAAGAAATTGAATTTAAAGTTATGTCGTTATACAATGTGTAATAAATGAAGGCGCCGAAGTGAAATTTACAGAGTAGATTTTTTGCAACTCGAAAAAGAAATGTGTCTTCTAGCTATTCGCAATCCATGGTCGGGATCGAATATCAGTTACATTTATGCTATAGATTGCATTATTGGTATTGTTGCTTATTTAAAAGCTTGTCTTTGGAAATAAACAAGAGCCACTCTCTTGAATTCAAGAACACTTTCAATCGAATGGTCAGATCAAATGTTCGTCGAACGTAGAAAAATATTTTATGTAATTTCGTATTCATATTTTTGAACTATTCTATCTTTAGAAGACTCGATTGTTAGTCACTAAATATGTACGTTACAATAATAATTAGGTGTACACATTGGCGGCTCGGGAACACACACGTGAGGCTAGACTCACCGCTTATGCGAAGCTCGCTCCGCCTTTTGTGACGGCTGACAACCGCTAACAACAGCCCTGTTTAGTGATATCACGTTTCCAATAATAAGTACCCCTTATCTCGAGCTGAGTCACCGATTTTTATAAATCTATTGATGATAGAATAAAATAATGTACTACGACTTTGCAGAACACATCATTATTTACAAAAAGTGTCGCGACAGCATATGTCTAACTATTATGGTTATGCCACAATAAGTGTTCTTTTATTTTTAAAATTTGGTTGAAATGCCGCCGCTAAAAAAGGCTCTTAATTTGTATCTTGGTATTAATCCTTATAAAAATAAATTACTTCATATTTAAGACTGTTTCAATATCTTTATACAACTTTTTGAATTATTAAATTCGGACATTCCATTCGAGAAATATCACAAGTTTAAAAATGTTAGTATATTGGAATTTAACTATCCAAACAGCTTAGTGGATCATACAATCGGTGTAACTCGGAGATTACACCGATTGTATGATCCACTAAAATATCTCTTTAATAGTCGTAATAGGGGAAGACGGTTAATATTTGACTATTCCTCAGCAAGGTACTGTGTGTAACAAAACTATGACATGCATGCAATTTTATGCATTTAGGTTGATGGTTAGAGCTACCTGTTTTAATCCATTACATTATTACTGGGACTTATTAGGGTTCCATACCCTAAGGGTAAAACGGCACCCTATTACTACGACTCCGCTGTCCGTCTGTATGTCCGTATGTCTGTCCATATGTCACCAGGCCGTATCTCATGAACCGTGATAGTTAGAGAGTTGAAATTTTCACAAACGATGTATTTCGTCGTCATAACAACAATTACTTGTTGCCGCTATAACAACAATTACTAAAAAACAAAACATTATAAATTAGAGGGACTCCCATAAAACAGACATGATTTTTTTGCCGGTTTTATAGATAATGTTCACAGTAGTAGTGTTTTTGTCGATATGTAAGTGTAATACTTCTATATTGAATAAAGATATTAAAACATGATTTTTTTTAATGTGATAGAGTGGCAAACGATCTGGCGGTTCACCTGATGTTAAGTAATAACCGCCGCCCATGGACATTTGCAACACCTGTACGGTTGCAAATGAGTTGCCATCTTTAAATAAAGTGGGCCCCGGCAACCTCTCTCACCAGACGAAAAAATAGAAGTATAACACTTCTATTTTACCCCGGTCTTCTGTGAGGTCGGTACGGAACCCTTCGTGTGCGAGTCCGACTCGCACTTGGCCGGTTTTTATTCAATACATTATCGATACGATGGCAAAAAGATATCAGAAAGATTGAATTACATATTATGTCGTAATCACCAAAGACTGAGGGCTGGTGAAACCTTCACTTTAGAGACGCTTTAAATCAAGACATTGGCCCATCAAATATCGGTCAACGCGTAATCTACAACGTCATATTCATTTACAGACACCGAATTATCTGCATTAAAAAACCAAAGATGTGATGATTTATGTCTGAAGCTATGGGAGACCAGACTTATTTGTCACTTTTACGTGTAACCCCGAATGTCCCGTAATTAAAGCGGAAACCATTATCTGGTCAGCGATCTTTCGATCTTCATGACGTAATTTCAAGGGTATTTCATTAAAAAATTAAGAATTTCATAAAATTATTCACCACAGACGAAACATTCGGAAAGTTTTATGTGTGTGTATGATAAAATTTAATTTTTTAATTTTTTGTTAAACTTATTGTTGCCCGTGCGAAGCCGGGGCGGGCCGCTAGTAAAATATAAACGTATATTAGATTTTTAACTACAAGTGCGGGTTCACTTTTTCACTTTTTTATAGACTTGTCTTTTGGATGATATACGGTTTTTTAAGTATGCAAATGAAGGGACAGATTATGTTCAATCACGACCCACGACGCTGGTTGCGAGCTCTATATAACTTAACTTGGATAAATTTATTGTAAAGAATACTAGTTACAGTTTAATTTCGTTCTCGCCCCCACACTGGGTAATGCCTCTCATATATGATAACAATAATTGCGATTATCGAGAGTCCTTATAAGAAAGATATTCAATACGCATTTCCGACGAGACTTGTTTTTATTAGTAAGTTTGAATACTTCGTGCCGTATCTGCATTTGTATGAATATAAATGTTTACATTCGCTTTATGAGCTTGCTATGAAAGATAAAAATTAGGTCAATCGAAACATGTTCGTTAGATGTACTGACCAGAGTCAATACGCTTGGAATTTTCCTTGGCTACACGGGTCATCAAAATCATTTGTAGTTTTTTTTTAAAGGTATTGATGCAATTTGTAAGGGACGTGTCTACAGATATAACATGTTCGAATAGAACAAGGTCGACCTTTTACTCGTTGCAGGACACAGCACTAAAACGCGAACTATAAGAGTAAAGTAATACAATATAAGAACGAATAAACCTTATAAGGCGTGGTAGGGTCACGCAACAGCCTACGCTGTTGCACGAATTGGCAATTCCGTCCAGAAAGAAGACCGGCGTGTAGTGGAAGTGTCATGTCGTGCGTTTCATCTGGTGAGTGAGATAACCGGAGCCCACTTTATTAAAAGGTCGCAACGCATCTGCAAACCTACGGGTGTTGCAATTGCCCATGGGCGGCGGTTAACACTTAACATTAGGTGAACCGCCAGTTCGCTTGACACTTTCGTACACAAAAAACCGTTCAATTGCGATTCGAACTCGTACGCTAAGTACCTTTCAGGGTACACCGTACCTGTCTATTATACCGCCTAAATAATAAAATTGATAAATAATAACCACCGATTTTACCAGGAACGGGTGGACCTGGCAAGTTGAAATTTATACCAGATACTGAGGTCTATAGTTCATATTGGATGTATAAATATCAAGGTGTTGTGTAAACACAATAAAAAGATTGGGCAAATTTAGATTTTCACGAAACTTGTAGGTACCAAAATTGGCCTGACAGGACAGAGAGACGGACAAGAGAGTGATCTTACAAGGGTTCCTTTTTTACCTTTTGAGGCACGGAACCCTAAAGAAGATAAGCAACAAAAAGAGGTTAAAGCAAAATTTCGTCGACAGCTGCCGAGCCTGCGCGACGAGGTGTCGGCGGGCGAGGCGGACAAATGGCGGCAGAAGCGGAACAACAGTTTCGACCAGAACCGACAGCTGGAGGAGATAACTAAGGAGAGGTGACTCTTTCCACGTTTTGTCGTTAAATCCAGATGTGAACTAGGTGCATGTATGTAGGGGTGCTAAATGGACTTTGGTTGAATTGTTCCATATCGTACGACGCTAAATAAAGCAATGTTGATTATTCGCCTCTTAGCGCGAGTTCATTAATCTAGTACTTTTTTTTATGTGAAAAGTTGCCAAGCGAGCAGACGGTTCACCTGATGTTAAGTGAATACCGCCGCCCATGGACATCTGCTACAACCGAGGGTTGCAGATGTGTTGATAACCTTTTGAAGATTGGGCTCCGGCTACCTCACTCACCAAATGAAACGCGAAAGTATTTGTTACACTTTCACTTTACACCGGTCTTCTGTGAGGTCGTGGTACTTATCCGGACGAGCCTGCCCATTCGTGCAACAGCCGAGGCTGCTGCTTGGCCCTACCACAGTTACCACACTTGGCTTACTTATACTTAAAAACTAAGAGAAATTAATATGATAGCTTAAAGTTCTAGCATAAAAAAGAAATTGCCAATCTGATGAGGTCCGTGTTGCAGGGACGCCTTGCAGCGCGTGGCATCGTCTCTGCAGCGCGCGGTCGGCCAGCTGGTGGCGTACTGCGCCAGCGCGGAGGACGAGCTCAACCGCACGGTGCTGGGCCAGCTGTTGGCCACCTTGCTGCCGCAGGAGCAGTGAGTGCGATTAGGATAGCTTCGAGTTAACTTTTTAATCTTGTGCGGACCGCTTTAAGTGCTAAGATTTTAAGTCGGTGCCTGATAGGAATTTCTTGTAATTACCCAATGTAAACTGAAACGCTGTAGTGTTCGTAACGTTAAAACAGGAAAAGTTAAAAATAAAGGCGATATAGTTATGTAAATAAAATATTAAAATTATTATTATTATGATTATAAAATACTTATATCACTTCTGATTAACTTAATCAAAATACGACATATTTTGTGCTTGGTAAATTAATTATTTACTTTTCGTGTTTGGAGTTGGGTTATTTTCTAATGATTTTATCATTTATAAAATTTTATTATTATTTCATGTATCACAATTACTTTTATTAAGAAAAGTTATAAGATTGACTAATCTAAGATAGGAACTGGTCGCCATATTCTTACCACCATTGAGTTTATTTGGCTTGTGATGAAATCGATAAAAGGTCGTCCTAATTTGAGCTAGGGTTCGGATCTTGGGGTTATGTCCCCTTCGCTTGGTTTTTATTAAAGACTGTAGGTTGGTCGGCCAAAATAAAATAGTAAGGATAGCGTTAAAAACTTTATATATTAATTAGACTTCTTCCTACTTATTAGGACAGAGTAACGTCCTATACAAAGGATAAGAGTGTTCTACCCTATCACTGAAACATTATGCGCTTATATACAAAAATATAATGAGTCATCACAACTACATTACAAATCAATGCACTTATTAAATTACAAGTACAGTTAATAAGATTGACCTATTAAATTATATATTATTATTAAGCATGGTTTATTATATAATATTATACCAGATATGGTTCAATGTTTATTAAGTGTAATTGTTATTTATTAAGTATAATTGTTATTGCTCGTATATTAAGTAGTGTTGCCAGTGGATTGTAACATTTTAATCCTTAGTGGCAATGGCCAACCGGTTGGCCAATTTTTATTGCACAGTGGTTGTATATATAAATTGTCGTTTAATCTATTAAGTATGAAAGATGCAGAGGTTAGCACTATAAAAAAAATTCTAAGAAGCAATAGCGACGTCTCTCGTTCGAATTATCGTTGTAAAACGATATTCGAAATTGTGTGTATGCTGGAAAGGATACAACAATGGATGTGCAAAGCATTGCTTCAAATTTAAAAAAAAAAGCAATGTAGATAAAAGACGTTAAGATTTTCGTCGGTGTGGCAATCACCCGTTTAGCTCAGTGGCTAGAGCGTCAGGCTGCGAATGCCGAAGACGTGGGTTCGCTTCCCACAGCGGCGAAAATCTTTTCGTACTTTTTCTACAAATTTTAATATTAAGTATGAGTTGTTTATGATTGTTATTATTCTTGTTTCATTATTATATAAACGATTAGTTAGTTTATATGTCTGGTTGATGAGAGGTGTATTATTGACTTACGATAAACATTCTACACAATTTTAATGTTAATCGTGAGACTAACAAGGCTATGGTCCATTGCGTTTTCTATTTAGGCCCTAAGTCATTTCACATATTAGCCAAATATTAGTTAGTTTTTAATGTTCTCAGTTAATAAAGTCTATGTCTATCTTAAAATAAAGATTCGAAATCGAAAAATAAAATAAATTGTGTGTTGGCATTAGAGTAAGTCTTTAAATTCCCGCAGAACGCGATGTGTGTGACCCAGAGGGTGAAGTCAGATATATCTTATTTGCATGTGCGTTGCCTACTGCGCGTCTATTTATAGTTGCATCGGCAGTGTGTAGATTGTCGTACTAATATCTCTACAGGCGCCAAATTCTGCCTTTTGGGTATTTTGCGAGCTTGTTTTCGTCGATCGTTCTATCTTACGACTACGGTTTGTGTTAGTTGCATATGTATACTATTTGATTTTCTCATATACTATAAATACGAATCAAAGTCAACTATGTTCTTTACAAATCTAATGCAGAATAGAAAAAAGGAAGAAGTTTCATAAATATTTTTGATGTTTTCTTAACATCTTTAAAATTTGTTAGAAAAAGTACGAATCAGCCATATATCACCAGGTCTATCCTGGAGGGGTCGCGGGCGTCGTCTCCGAACCGTAGCGCGGCGCCGGAGCGGCGCGTGCACTTCGCGCCCGAGCTGGACGGCATCCTGGCCGCGCTGGACGAGGAGGGCGCCGCCGGCTTCCTGCGCCACCAGCGGGACCTCAGCGCCGACATCAAGCGCGAGCTGGAGCTCTCGCTGCTGCGGCTCAGGCACGAGGCGCACGAGCTGCTCGACCTCTCCGAGCGGCTGGCCGCCAGTGAGTCCTTTGGGGCCCGTAGAAGGAGCATGAGTGGGCAAATGTCCTTGGGCAGCGGTTATCGATCAGGTGTACCTCAACAATTAGGTATACCTCCAGCTCGCTCGTCATCTTACAAAAAGTAAACGTTTATAAAAATTCCATATCTGTTTGATTATTTCAATAATTATTAATATTGCAGTTCATTGATAGATAACGTTGTTTATGAATTTATTTCTTTCCCAGAAGGAAGCCCACAAAACAAGATGCTGGAGTCTAGTCAGGTTGAAATCACGGAGCTGGTGGAGGACCTGGACGCGAGGCGCAAGTCCTGTGACAACTGCGAATTGCACAAGAAGGTAACGTGATGACATATTAAATAAATCATAAGTACAAAAGTATTTTCTAAAAGTTTTAATAGAAAAGTATTCATTGAAATTTATAAACCTACATCTGGCTTTATGACATGTTTATATCGAGAATATACATAAGGGTGCAAAATAGTAAGTAAAAGGAGCACTCGTACCGTAACTGTTTAAAAATAAATTCCAAGTAAAGTAACGACCTATATATGTCCCAATGTTGGGCAAAAGCAGGAGAAAGCGACCCCACCGCGCTTTGGCAGATTTCACATACCGTGGATATTCATATTTTCTATATTATTACAAAAATATATAATCCATATCAATATCCTTCATCAGCATAAAAAATTACAATTAATTTTGTTAATATACGATTTCAGACGATGGAGGAGGCGATGTCGGAATGCCTGCAGCGCGAGAGCCTCCTGCGCTCGGACCTGGAGGCGGCCATGGTGAAGATCGCCCAGCTCATGACCGACAGGGCCAACTGCTCGGACGTCATCGCCGAGGGGTCAGAATTGTCTCCTATTTCATTCCTAATGACTCGGCGGTGCAGTCGCTGTAGGCTCCTCTTCGCGGGTCGTGGGTTCGAATCCCGAATCTCGAGGAAACCAATTTTTATGCCGTGTGGTACGGCCCGGACATGATAGTAAACTATATATTTAATATCTTGCATGCAATGTATGTATAGCATGCTTATACAATTAAAGACTATCTATCTAAATAATAACGAAATCGGAATGCACAGCAATACGTTTACTAGGCGGTAAGCATTTATCACAGTGTCCCCGCAGGTACGGCACGTGCGTGGCGGCGGAGGGCAGACGGGCCGGCGCCAGCCGCTCGCTGGACGACGCCTCGCCCAGGTCGCAGCTGGCCGCGCTGGCGCGGGACCTGGAGCTGCTGCAGCGCGAGCGCGACGACCTGCACCAGCAGGTAGCCGCTGCACGACTGACCTGGAGCGATGAATGCATTCCTCCACTCGACTGTACTCGACCGGTACAGTCGAGTGCAAGTTTATTCGTCGCCTTATATAACCGTCTTATAAGTAATATGAAATGTACACGGAACTTTATAACAACGAATGTACTCCGACATCATCGACGATAGTATGAAAGAGATGGTTATACCCTAGACTGACATTTCGCGTGCCTGAATTAAACGGACTGATTGTTGTTATCGGTTACGATATGCCGGCGTCAGCAAGGTTGGTTTCCTAATCTAACTACTAGTGCTATCGAACTACTCATGATCTCTTTGATATTGTAATTGGATTAGTTTTCTTGTAAATGTGTGTGTGTCACCCGATGTAAACGCTCAAAGTATTCGAATGAAATTTGGAATGCAGAACTACTTTATTCTGTTTCGAGAATACGTAATCGTATGTCAATTATATTGCACTCATCCACGATTGTATTTATGCTTAATTTATTTATGTATTCGTACCCGGTATACGACTACAAGCTTATCCTGACCTTTCACTTTCTGAAATTTTTAAGTATACCGAAAAATGTGAACAGCACATACACTATCCCGTAATTTCCAAGCTTATTGTTGTTTATGTTTGTCTACACTTTTGCCGTAATTAAAAATGAATTTTATTGTTTCACTCTGCGCACACCGCACTCAAAGATTAGACGGATGACAGACTCGCCCGTTCATAAGATGTGCTGCCAGAAGGTAATAAAATCACTACAAAGCAACACCGCTTCTGTCTAGACGTTTACACGCATTACATATTAAAATAATTTGATGTTAAATCATCATTATTACGTACAATATTATAACTGCATGATGATATTCCAACTATCATTCGTTAGGATAAATGTGTAGTTGAAAATAACCAATTTTTAAGTATCACGAAAAAGTTCATTTGTTTTACAAAAAGAAAATAACAAATGATTTCAATAAATTCATAAACCATATGCAATACATTTATGAATATAATTTTAGCATGGCTTTTTATGATATTGTTGTATATGTATTTTATGTCGTTTATTTCAGCTGATTTTTCACGCGCTCTTTACGAGAAGAGTGGAGATTAGCCGTCGATTGGATGGTATTAATTGAGCTTAGCGAAATGTTAATAGAAGTTTAGTTTGTATACTCCCCCTGTAGGATTAGTGTGGTCCACGGTGCCGGCACCAATGCAATTGTTAAGTTTAAGTGAGGAAAAAATGGCATGAAAATTTTCGAAATAATAACAAAATTCCAATAAAAATAAATACCCTCTAAATACTATATTTTTAACATTTCGAAAATCAGGTTTATTCGCAATATTTTCTTTCCTGAATTCGGGTTGCTCGGGTATATTGAATAAAGACCGAGCGCCCGGAAATTGAGCTATCACTGTCTTTTTATTTATGTATTTGTAATTAGTTTATTAGAATAAGGTAATACAAAATAATGGTCTTAAATCTAATATACGGGGTCACTTATTCTGCGTCTTGTTGGAATATATCTCTCGTATCCGTAGTTTTCGTATAGCAGAACTATTTAACACGAAAAGAAATATATCGTCGGGTCGACGGGGGCGGGTCTGACCTTCGGGCGTGTCGCAGCTGGAGGCGGCCAACCGGCAGCTGCGCTCGACGCGCCTCTTCGTGGAGGAGCAGGCGGCCGAGCGCGAGCACGAGCGCGACGAGTTCGCGCGGAGGCTGCTCGAGCTGCGCGACGACAACGCACGGCTGGCGGCGCGGCTGCACGCCAACGCGCGCATCCTGGCCGAGGTGCGGCCCTTTTGCGCCCTTATGCGCCCTTTTATGGCGGGGGCATGTGACTGATAAGTGCGGCCCCGTCGCGACCTTATTGCGGGGGGCGGTAGAGCTCACTTTGCCCACTTTGCCGTGTCGGTGGACGTGGGTGTCTTGCATGTGACTGATAAGTGCGGCCCCGTTCGCGACCTTACTTTGCGGGGCATGTGACTGATAAGTGCGGCCCCGTTGCGACCTTATGGCGGGGCGGTAGAGCCCACTTTGCCGTGTCATGGACGGGTGTCTTGCATGTCACTGATAAGTGCGGCCCCGTCGCGACCTTATTGCGGGGCGGTAGAGCTCACTTTGCCGTGTGCTGCCTAACGGGCTGGAAGGCTCTTGCATGCGACGCTGATAGGTGCGGCTCTGTTGCGATCTTATTGCCGAGCCGTAGAGCTCACTTTGCCGTGCGTGTGTATTCTACGAAATGGTTTGGATGGTGTAAGAATGGCTGTTGGGCTGGCCGGGTTTCTCTCTTGCATGTGACGCATGTTTCGTAAACGAATTATTACAGCACCGCTACTGTGGCTTGTACGTTATTTTTTAGTTCTTTCTTTCTTAGTTTTTTTTATTGTACACAAAATAAAATCGACAAACAAAATTAAAGTTAAAAAAAACTTAAAAAGGTTTTATATGACCATGTCTTATGTATTGCTAATAATATACAGACTGCTACTATAAAAGTAGCAGTACAGGATCGTTCAAAGATACTACAAAAAATTCAGACGTATAGTAAAACTATACTAGCGAAGGCGTGTCACATCACGGAACAAATTGACCGATACAATTTAAAAACGCAACCTAAAAATGAGGTATCAGATAAGAAGGCTTTTTTTCTTAAATCAACGTTTAACTGTCATGGCTTTTTGCTTGAACACTAACTGCAAGGCTCGAACCCACTAACCCGGCCGCGACGTGCACGCAGATGGGCGCGCTTCGCTCCCCGCACCGCTGCCCCCTCGCGGAACGCGTAAGTCCCACCCACTTGCCCGCATATCACCGCTTCCCGCAAATTCTCCTGCTTTACTAATTAGAAATACAAGCCCTCATATAATGGCACACAATTGTCTTGTCGGTAAATATTAAAATTGTATTTGAGTATGAATAGTTATCAGTGAACTTGTAAGACCCATTATCATAAAGTCACGAGAATCGAAGAGACGAGGTCACGAGAGAGAAGAGTCGGAGATCAGGGGTGAGCAACCTTTTTAATCAATGGGCCAATTTAAATTTATTTTTGGTGGGCCGTACATGATAATTTACGAAACTTTATTTATAATAAATATTAGAATAATAAAATATAAAATTAAAAAAAGCAAAAATTTCATATACAAATTTTAATGCAAGGTAAAAACAAACAAGAAAAGAACAGAAAAACGGACAAAAATATTTCGATTCAGTATGTACTACCATTTTATTATAATTAATTTCATAACAATATATTGATGGGGGAAATTCGATAAAATAAATTCAATTTTAGAAATGCTTGGCGGGCCGCATAAACATGATTAACGGGCCGCGCGTTGCTCATCCCTGCTCTAAATACCTCCGCAGAAAATTCTTGTCATCTTTATAATAAATTTCACTTTTAAATAAGAAATAAATACTGCTTCTGATTTCTTTGTCACTATTAAATGAAATTGTATTATATCAATGGTAAATATATAAGCAAAATACCTAGATGAAAATCATAATTATTATTGTCATTGTAGAAAATATCTTAGAATTTTGTCTATACAGATTGTAAATAAGTATAGTAATTAATATTTATATAATTATAGTATACTAACTAATATTAGTTGCATGAGCGTGTTTTAATATTTTTTGTGTATTTAAAACAGTTTATATTCTTTAACGATTTATTTATAAGTAATGATGTAGTTTGCATGACGTAGTAACTAATTGGAATATTTCTAATTTATGTAAACATCTCATGTGCATAATTTATATCATGTCCTGTCATGTCGAACCCATCAGGTGGAACAGTTGGAGACGCAGACGCGGGAAATGAACCAAATGATTGCGGACCTGGAGGCGCGCAAGTCCTCCGCCGACGAGGAGCTCAAGTCTTCGGAGGAGAAGGTGGCTCTCTTGAGGGACATCATCGCCAATCTGGAGGGCCAGCTGGAGCAGAAGACGAAACGGGAGGCGGACATACTGGAACAGCTGGAGGGCATGAAAAGGACGATAGACGAGAGAGACGACAAGATGCGAGCGGTGCTCGGCGAGTTGGAGTCGCTGAGGAGCGAGAGGGCGGACCAGAGCGAGGTCCCGTGCGAGACCTGCGCGCGGGGGGAGGACCGATATGCGGACCTGTTGCAGAGGGTCGATGAACAGGTCGGTTCTTATTGTACTTCTGTTATAATAACAAATAAATGCTTCAGGGCATATTTTTTCACAACGTTATCTAGTCCCAAACCAAGCAAAGCTTGTACCATGGATACTAAGTCACTGATAAATAAACATACTGAATCATACTTTTTTAAATAAGTACCAATTATACCTATACAGATATTTAAACACCCAGGTAACAGAAAAACATAAAATATTTTTCCAATAGTGTAGATCGAACCCGCACACTCTAGCGCAAGAGATAGGGCCACTATCCATAATGCCGATTGGGTCGTCAAACTTTAGACTGTTTGTCATATATGGCGGCACTTGTTTGTTTTTAAATCTTCTGAACGAATTATGGAGATATATGGATTATGGCATTTTTTAGATTTAATACTTTTTATTGTTATGTAATAAAAAAATAGATTTTTTTGAGATCGTTGTGGGAACGCGCGAGAAGGTGAATGAGAGTGTTTTATATTTGCCAAAATCTATTTGTGGGAAAGCGCGTTTACGTGTGGTATGTAGTGGGCGGTGTTCATTACTCATCGATGGAAGCGAAATATTTTCAATTTGTACCGAAAATGTTAGAGTTTCAAAGTTTTCATGTATTCGTATTTTGATTTGTTGAGGCTTAAAAGGTAAATTGTTTTTTTGTTACGGGTGTGTAAAAATATGATTTTTAAGCATTGATCTTTTGATAAGGTCTGACATGACATCGTAAATGCAGTTTTTGTGCAAGATGAAGGTAGCGGGTACGTGGATGTTCTGCCTTGAGTTCTGGTTGTAGTCGCGAATGGTGTTTAGGCGTCAGGGTGTCAGTGATAGTAGGTGCAAAAGAAGAAGCGGCTGGGCTGTGTGTGGACGGCGAGGTCGTATGTGAGACCCAGTTGTTGTCTCCACCGGTGCCAGGTTGTGTGTAGTGGTCCTTGGTGTTGGGGGTTCTGGGTTCGATCTTCATACGGGACAGCTGTTTGTTTGACCCACAGATGGTTGTTTCGCATCTGGGTATTTTTCCACGTGGAACATATGTTTGTAAAACGTCCTTACAACGGGGGATAATGATAAAATAAGGACAATGTTTTTTTCTTTTAAAAAGAAAAAACGAGCGTGCTTTAGACCAAACGATTTAAGTAAAACTTGTTTAGTTCCACCTATCAATGTTTATGAGCAAAATGTTTAATCTATAAAACTGTTAAAGAAGTAAATGGAATGAGTTAATAATGGTGAGGTCACCGTTCGCGTAACAGTGCCGCTGGCTGGAGGGCGAGGTGCGGGCGCGCACGCGGCTGGTGCAGCGCGCGCACGAGCACGCCGAGGCGGGCGCGCTGCGGGCCGACCGCAGCGAGGACGTGTCGCTGGCCGACCACGAGGTGGCCGCGCGGCCGGTGCGCGGCGAGTGGGTGTGCGCGGCGGCGAGGCTGCGCGACGCCGTGCGCGCGCTCGCCCGCGCGGAGGACGCCGCGCTCAAGCGCATCGCCGACCTGCGCATGCAGCGCGACCAGCTGCACCGCGCGGCGGAAGTACGTACTCGCACATGGAACGTATATATACGAATATCGTACGTCGGCAATGGCAATCGACGAGAAATAGACGGGTAGATAAGGATTCATTTAATGTATAACAGCGCCATCTAGTGACAGTTTGTTTAAATGAAATATAGCGAAATAAACAAGACGCTTTTCTTCAAAATGATATTACTTCGATTGATAAATGCTTTATTGCACGTTTTATATTACTATTCGATAACCAATCGAGGTATTGTGCGTAAATTTCGCTAGTACTATATTATATATTATTCTATATGTATTAAAACACTCTATTCATTTTTGCGTACTTTCATGATAAAGAGCTTTAAAATCGTTTCGACATTGGCGTGCTCCTTGACTGGTTGGCGCGTATCCAATCCTCGCTCCATCTACCGCCTTTATCAATGTCATTTTATTTCAGCACTCACAAAACTCTCGTGATAGCATTCTAAGCGATCAATTTCTATCGCGGTACTCTCCTTTATATGGGACCTTTCTATGATTCTTTTTAGATGAAAGGACAAGCACGCAAACAAAATACCTAGTGTAGTACAGGCAAAGCCGTACGTTTATTTTGACATTTCTTAACCGCCATACAATTGACATAAACTCATCCATCCCACATTGACATTAAAATGTGGTGGTACACGCAGTTACCATCACACCGCCCATAGACGTTTGCAACATTAAAGTTTTCGCAAAATGCTTTAGCTACAAATATACTCCCGTCTAGAAATAATATTTATCTTATTTATTAGTGCTAAAATAACCCAGACGAAAACTGACTCCACAAAATATCCGTGTGTGGGCAAACATATCGGGAAAAACCCACGGAAGTGGACTAACCAACTTGTTCATGATGTCTCTGACATTGCAAAACTCTACTAGTATTTGAACAAGAACTGTCGTAATGCATAACATCACTCATAGATGTTTCAATGTAAACTTTTTCTACATATTTTAATTTTCTACATATTTTAACAAACATAACTTTATACAACACCCTCTAGAAATTAAAGGGTCGATTATATGCAGGTGAGTTGATTTCCTGCGCTTTCAGCGTCAACTATCTTGTGAATTCATAACATTATTTCTATTACATAATCGCGTATCTCATCCTGATTAGCATAGTTTGTCAAGTTTGTGACCGTGGCAGGGCCACGCAGCAGCTGTTGCACGATTGGGCATGTTCATCCGGGGAATTACCACAGCCTCACATAAGACCGATGTCAAGTAGAAGAATACTTCTGGATTTAGTCCCGGTGGCAAGTGCCGGTGCCTTTATAAAATTTGGCGACGCATCTGCAACCTTACGGGTGTTGCTGGTGGATTAGGCTAACCGCCATTTCGCTTGCCACGATCTAAAATAAAAAAGTTTTTAATTACAAATGTCATCGTAGAGTCAATGACCTGTCTAAATTCCACATTGTATACGCGCATATCGCTGCCCCAAAAAGCTGCAGTATCTTATTATTTTTAGACACCTCTCGACTGCGGAAATACCACAGTATCGGTTCAGTACCCAACCTTTCCCCGTTTGGAGTTTTCCAAAAACGAATTTCGAGCTCTCGATTTTCACTAAACTTTCGATATATTCGATGTCGCACGAATGGGCAGGCCCGTCCGGGTAAGCCCCACGACTTCACAGAAGACCGGCGTAAAGTAGAAGTGTTACAATTCTGCGTTTCGTCTGGTGAGTGAGGTAGCCGGGGCTCACTTTATTAAAAATGGCAACGCATTTGCGGCCCTACGGGTGTTGCAAATGCCAGGGCGGCGGTTATTACTTAACATCAGGTGAACCGCCAGCTCGTTTGCCACTTTCTCGCATAAAAAATACGTATGTAACACCAGGCCGGTCACAAGGACCCCTAAGGTCTCTGTATCAACACCTACGCACATTCAGACCATCAGAGTCAATTGCCTTTGAAACAATTCCCGCAATAAAAGCGAATCGACCCACGGCGCGTTGACCCCAGCGCACTGTTCTCATTATACGTATCACGACATATTGTCGTATTCAGACAGCTGGATGAGTTAAAGAGCTTGGGCTTATCGTAGAGTATACTTTATATAATAGAACTTGTACCTTACCTTTATCTACATTAACGACGCGAGGTCAAGGAACTCGCTACACTTAAAAGCGTTCGAAGTATTTTTTTATAGTGCCCTTACTGTAGGATAACATTATCCTGTGTTGTAAGGACTCCCTCCAGATCCGAAACAACTATCTGTGGTCTCGCAAATAGTTGTCCCGTGTGGGAATCGAACCCACGAATCCCTCGCCGAAGCAATTACCTCGGCAACTGAGCCACGGAGTCATCTAATTTTCAATTGAAGTAACGCTAACTGTCGGCTACGTCTGTTTAAAATTATTCCGTCCCTAAAAACAAAGCGTATCGTCTTGAAACGACAGGCAAGCCGCGGCTAAAAGCTAGTATAACTTAATCGTTGCCCTTAAGGCACTCTCGGGGAACAAGCGGGAGTGGCGTGATTGTTCCCGAAGAGTAGGGTTCCATATAGGTGTGGTAGTGCCCTCGCCCCTTGGCTACGCTGGGGAGCCAGGAGGACCCTCGGCGGGGCGGAGCCGGCCCGTGCACGGAGCCCGCCGCACTTTGCCCGCATCAGGGTTGGCGGTCGATCGCTTTAAACTTAAAAACTTTTTTTAATTTGTAGAAAAAAAAATTTTTTCAACGGTGGAAGGGCCAGGCAACACTGTTGCACGAATGGGCAGGTCCGTCCGGGTAAGTACCACTAGCTCACAGAAGACCGACGTAAAGTAGAAGTGTTATACTTTTGCGTTTCGTCTGGTGAGTGAGGTGGCCGGGGCCCGCTTTATTTAAAGGTGGCGACGCATTTGTAACCGTAAGTGTGTTGCGAATGTCCATGGGCGGCGGTTATCACTTAACATCAGGTGAACCGCCAGCTCGTTTGCCACTTTCTCACACATAAAGAAAAAAGAAAGTACGAAAAGTCTTTCGCCGCCGTGAGAATCCAATACACGTCTACGTGTTTCTTAATTATGTATTTTTTAATTGTGATAGGTTGTGAAGCGAACAGGCGGTTCACCTGATGATAAGTGATTATTGTCACCCATGAATCTATCCTTACGCTTATGAATCCATTACGCTTTGAAACCAATATGAACACATAATATACAGGGTGGCTTTTCTAAAGATGCCCAAATTGACACAGTAGGTTCAGACTCGGCAGTATAATCGTGTACTGAAATAAAACAAACTTTTTTTTTTTTTCAAAAATATTGCAATTCTATTCCCTAAAAAACAGAACTTGTTGACAATGCGGTAGTCATTCGTAAATGCGTCGTATACTTTTGAAACGAACTTGTGTGCGTGTTAGTTGTGAATGATCGCGCGTATAACAAACGAGTTGCCCATAAATCACGCACTCTTTGAGATAAGTTCAAATGAATGTATTTAATGAATTAGGAGTGATTTTATGTATTTATCATTTTTATATAACATTATTTATATCCAGAATTTAATAAAAAAATGGATACACTTAAAAAGCCTCCCTGTATACAACTCCCGATGGCTTGCAGATGTGTTGAACAACTCCAAAGAAGTGGGCCCGGATACCTCACTCACCAGGCGAAACGCAAAAGTTTAAATACTTCCCCGGACGAGGCTGCCCATTCTTGCAACAGCAGAAGTTATTGTGTGGCCATACCACAGTAGGACCACACTATTGCGATCAGTTTGTCATTATTGTATAAACCTATATTTTTGAAAAAGAGCATCTGTTGAGTTTCTTACCGCTCTCTTCTCATGTATTAATTTTTATGTAAAAATCGACGTTTTATAAGAGTCAAGTCTATTTGAATAAAGATATTTTGAATTTTAATTAACTCAAATCTCATGTTCAATGGGTATTTATAAAAGCCGTTGGCTTAAGTGTACAAAATTCAAACAAACATGTCGTACCTTGAACATGGATGCTGTGAATATCGTAACCGTACCAGAATATTGAAATAATAGTTAAACGCCTAAAAATATCGTCCTAAAATAGTTTTGCTCAAAAATTTCAGTAATCGCGTAAATAAAAGAAATGATTATATTGTTTTCTTGATTTTACGCGAATATTATACATATTAAATGAAACTACTTTACGGATTTTATCGCGTTTTTTTATTTTAATTTAAATTCCCGACGGTTCCAGCGTTCATGGTCACGGTAGCCAGGGTTAACTATGACATCAAGACGTCTAACAACTTAGTCTGTCCCGTGACCATGAACGCTGGAAAGGGTTCGAAACGTCGGGAATTTAAATTAAAATAAAAAAACGCGATAAAATCCGTAAAGTAGTTTCATTTAATAGAAATGATTATGTTTAAAAATATTAACTTAATTTTTATTTAGAGTTATGGTACACTTTTATTTAAAAACTTTATAATATTCATTTGTGGTTGTAGAGTAAAATTATTTTGCTTTTAGATATTTGTTGATATATAAAGTAGGGTGCATATTCACTGGCGTTGAAAGAAAGAAGCAATATAGAATGCGGCGATAGGAAAAAGAAATGGGCGTTGAACCCGAAGTTAATGTACTAACAATGAACTGTACACGTAATTAATACCTGTGCTATCAGTAGTTACTTATGTACTTGAATATATTTGTTTCATTTATGTTCTTTCACGACAAACGTGATCATATGTAACAGAGCATCATCTGTATTTGTGTAGAAATGATCATATGTATTTGTGGAGAAGGGTAAGCAGTAGATTACCAAGCGATGTCTCACCTGAGTTGCATAATATACGAACCGTGGAATGACCTTAGTTTCAAAATCGCAAACGTACTATCAATTATATTATTAATAGTATAATAAACTCTTTAGCTTGTGCGAAGATACCGCAAAATAGTGTGTTTGTGTGAGTTTTGTTCGAGTGTGTTTTTTTGCAATACACGAATGAAATGCTCCAGGATACCTTAGCAACGTTGGTTACTCTATTCAGTTTTTTTTTTATCCAAATAAAGTTAACTTAGTTACTTAGTCTTAGTTTAGTCGAAGATTTTAATACGCGCAAATTGAAGTTGCAATATAATCGTAGTATGAGAAAATTATACTATCGATTCGTATCTTTTTTCATATTCCTTGGACATTTAACGCATCTTGAATATGCCTGCGCGATGCCGGGATCGCTTCCCCTAGCATCAAAGCCTAGAGTGTAATCGATTTGTAATATAATCACAAAAGGATATCGTCGATGGCGTATCTTTCTCAATAAGTAAACAAAAATAAAGTAAGCAAATAACCCCGATCCCTTTATAAGACTACCGTTTAACGACACAACAGCTGTTACAACACCAAATAACGGCTCGGGCGCTCATAAAATTACGATAATCTCCGTTTAACCCGATTGCGTGTGTAATTAACAACGGATTACGAGATATAAACAAGGGAAGGGACGCCTTCGAGCGGCAGCCCTGCCACGCCAATACGTTATCCGCGTAGACGCTAATTTTAACTGCCCGCGCGCTATAGTATTTGGATGCGGTAAATTTGCACGATCTCTACACTGCGGTTGTTTTTGTTGAGTTTTAAACAGTTGTACGGCATTGTTCTTGCTGCTTGCAATCTTTTGCGTATATCTTAGTCGATGGTTCAAGAATGATTTCTATTATTTAATTTTATTTTTTCCCTGATTAAGGACAATTTTTATGTATGGCAATTTAGCTTCCGTATGTTTGTTGCTTTAACACGTAGTCTGGTTTTGCGAAACACTTTTTTTATTTACAGTTATAAAAATAATACGAAATATCTTTGTATTTAATATCGTTTAATGTATCATTTAGGTGGGAGAAAACGCATTGTTGATTCATTAATGGCTTTGAACGTCCGATTTGCGTTTTTAATTTCGATTAAAATCATGTTCGGTATGATTCAAATTCAAAATAACTTTATTCAAGTTAGACGCTTGCGCGTTCTTATGAATCGTCGAACTTTACATAAGACTTAATACACAAGTTCTTAAGTAAGTTATCGCCAATTGACTAGTACCCTAAAATGACCACATACCCATTACGTATTCGCTACGTTCTGCTAGCGCTGCCTTTCGAAATTTTATGTTTCGCATCACATGCACACTCTGCTCGCGCGATGCCTCATCCGTACAGCTGTGCTTAGCGCATCGCGGTGGCGGAGCGCGCTCGCCCCCTCGGCCGCAGTCTCTCCCGATGCTCCGGAGCGTGTTCTGCTGCCGCAAGGTCTCTGCCCACCCCACTCCGTTTCGCGTAACCACATCGCACCATCGCCATGTCATTTCTAACGTAACATGATGTACGAAAGTGGAGATATGTAGCCCGCTTTTGGAATGCCGTCACGTAGTTTAGTGTTTTTGTGATGTTTGTTTGGAGTGTGTTCAAGAGGTACATTGCAATGGGCCTGCCAGACTTGACGGTGAGTTGTCGCTGTATCGACTATTTGTAAAATATTGTAGAAGACAGTGCGGATAATGCGTGATGCTTGTTTCGGCTGAATTAATTTTACAAAACTCCAGGCGGTTTAAAACACTCGTCTCCTATTACGCGCTACGTTCTTCCCGTCAAATGACGCATATCGTGTCTGACTATTAATAAAATTGTTATGGTAATAGAACAAAAAAGCTTTCGATTGGATCTATCGGCTTATCTTGTGGACTTTGTTTCAGTAAAGTACTTTAGAAAATTTAATGCGTTTTTTGTTATCTTTACTAATGTAATGAAAATGAAGAGTTTGTTTGAACGCTTATCTCTGGAACAATCAGTCGGATTTGAAAAAGTTTTTGCATTTATTAGTCCAATTTTTGAGGAAGGATATAGGGTATTTAACATAATACTACGACCTAAGGGGGGCGAAGCAGAAACCTTTCTCGCAGATGAAGTCACATGAAACAAATAGTATTCTAGAACCTTGTCAGCTGAACGAAGTATTTTTGATAACACCAAAACACGTATAATACATGACAACTGCTAGAAAAGTGCAGTTCAAATATCAAAAATGAAACCGGGCGCTAGTTAAGTAGAAAACAATTTAAAGATTATATCGATAGCGTTGTTAATGGCTTGGCAATTTGAAGAGACATCTTTGTCCATTTGAACACTCATGTATATTCACCGCGAACCGACGATGAATTCAACTAAGCAGAATTCATCTTAACGAGGGATCAATCAGCATGCCGTGGGGCAATTGGCGGCGGGTATATTTAAAATGGCGGCACTCGCGTTGTTTGGGCGCCAAAGATTTTCCATGTTTTCTTCGCAATACGTTCGTAATACAAAACAGTGTCCCGTGCCAAATGTCTGCCGTGCTCGTCTCTGTATTTCCCTTGTCTGTGGAACTTCTGGTTCTCTTTACTTTCTTTTTTATCTGAATTCGGTTTTTTTTTAATAAAAAATTCTGTTCAAATTTCTGTTTATACTCGGTTTGGTGAAAATTGGGCAGCAATAAGTTATGTCGTCATTCTACTTGTACAATCGATGTCGCTGTCAGACTAATGGTATTAAACTATTAGTATTAATGCTTAAGTGCCTGTGTTAGTTTTTTTTTCTTAACACGGCGGCGGCTTATGGTATTTGAACGAAATTTCGAAAAGAATTAGTCCATCAATATGAATCTTGTTTGTTATGTTTTCCCCTCATTGTCTACATCATTGCTTATAACTATAAAATGTAGACTGGTTGGTCCCCAAGGTATAGAGATCTATTCCGAGTTGGTCGTCGCATATATACATATTACACAGAGGGTAATGATATAGGTATAGTACATAGCGATACTTCTAGATACATGCAATTGATTAGCTGTGGAAGGGCCACGCAACACTCCTTTCTGTTGCACGAATGGGCAGGTCCGTTTGGGTGGATACCACGACTACACAGAAGACCGGCGTGAAGTGAAAATGTGTTATACTTCGGCGTTTTGTTTGGTGGAAACACTTTTACAACCCTAGGGGTGTTGCAAATGTCAATGGGTGGCGGTTATCGCTTAGCTCGTTTGCAAAACCAGCTGAAAAAATTCTAAAAGTATCTATGATCGCTTTCAAATAAATCTCTAAAGTTTCATCAACGATGGGGATAGTACACGCTTAGACCGAAAACAATTCATTCTAATCCAGATTATATACAACTGCTATCTAATTTAGGGATGCACAAGATAGTGGGAAATGATCTAAGAGCAGCCGACTCAACTCTGGAACGTAGAAATCTAATCTCACGTCGAATAGGCGCCGGTATCGTCTCATGGTCTTAGGGGCGGTATGTTTTCGTTGTTAACCGTTCGCGCCGTTGACACACGCGCGTTCCCCGCAGGGCTTCACCTCATTCAAGAGATGACCGAGTGATCCAAGAGTACGAATTCAATCTAAATTCAACTCTTCACTATCACACCCGTCGAGAATTTAGACGGCGTGAGCGTGATAACCTTAATCCTGATGTATTTGGGTTGTTATTCGATTCTGTGAAGAATTTTTCTTTGAAGGAATTGTTCAAGTTAATCTTCTTCGTGTTATTCCTTAATAACGTGAATCCTTATGTATTTATAATTTACCATTTGGTCACTTTCTTTTGATGAGAAATTTAATAATATGTTTATTCGTCTCTCGTGTTGATTGGAGTTTATGATGTTGTATATTTATGCAGTTATTTCATTGATTTGCCATTGACGAGACGATACGGCGATTTTATGTTCAGTTAGCCAATTGTCATGTGACAGTTTTTACTCGCTAGTACTTGTTTGTTAGACTGCCTGTTCAGGTCATTAGGCTGCAGAAGTATTTTCATTGACCTAAAGAACATTATACACTGAAAACAAGCTGTAGAAAACCGCGTTTATTAAAATGATGATAAAGATTTGAACAACTATTAAAAAGCTTTCTTCTAGCTCACACTGAGGGGTTTATTCCAATGAACGCTATTAAACATGAAGCTGTACGTTCATACAAGTGATTGTTGAATAATGAATGGCACCACAACGTATCAAACAAAAATGAACTTATTTCTTAGTTCAACTAGGTCTACATCCCTAAAACAGCCTCGCGGTACGGTTCATAAGCCCCGCGCCATCACGTTGGTTTTCGTTATGTTATTTTGGAGCGAAAATAATGCATCCATGTGTTTTCCGTTCACTGGTTTATTTAAAAAAATTGTATGAGATTCATATTTGCCTTGCGCAAATATGATCGCATCTCACATTTAAGTGCCTAAGCTCAAGTGGCTGTCTATTAGTCTTCGCCGTAATGCTCACACAGTTTCTCTGTTTACAATATTCTGATTATTCCTTCATATCCTACATATCTAAAGGAAAGTTTCCAATTTCTACTTGATTCCCACTCTCTCTGAGCAAAAGTTGGAGATGAAAATTCCTACGCACAAAATCAAGTTTACGGTCATTTATGAAGGGTGTTCGACTTTGGAATGATTTCTAATCTCCCCCAGAAGAAAGGCGCCCTCAGACAATATCTACTTCCAAAAATCTTGCAAAGAATCACTATTTTTCTGTAATGTTATTTCTTGACAAAGATATAGCCTGTTTTCATTTTATATCTTATTCGTTTAGTTTTGAAGATCAGTATTAATTTAGTTCTTTCATTAAAATATTTAATCACTCATTTACTATTGAATTCATTTCTCTTTCGTCCATCCAAAGGTTGTCTGGATGAAATTACTTTTTGTAACAATTCCGCCTATGGTACCCATCGCTAAAATGTTTTAGATTTTTGTCTATTTTATTTGTGGTGTGCAGTGAAGTACATTCATTCATTCGAAAATCTGTACGTAATATGTTTACGCACGAATTCGATTCATCAGTTCGTTATTCACCCTATTATAAATTGGGACAGCGCAAGAGTTGACCTATGGTCTTAGTGTTCGAGGGGATTTGCGTAACGGGAGATGTAGGGCGCGCGGTTAAAATTAACCCGTCTCACCGCGGCCGTGCAGTCGCGCCGCGTTAACTGTTCGCGTTTTGTGGATCCGGCACAGTGCGGTAGCCGTCTCCCGTGAGCCGAGCGCAATGTGGCCGTTTTGAATCTGAAACGGCCTTCGTTTGAAAGGTATGCTTGTTTCATGAACTGTGATGGACAATCGCACCTACGGTATGTGTTCCGTGTTCGATTCAAGAGACATTTTCTTATGGATTGGATCGGCTCGAAAGTGCAACCACCGCGGCCGCGCAGACCAGAAGCGTTTTGCGTATCGTAAAAAGGGTGTTTTGAGAAAAAGGGAAAGGGAAAATCCGTGAAAGTCCATAGTCCGGGCGCTCAGTTTTATTTCATTAAACTTGAGCAACCAGAGTTCAATTCCCGGTACCGGCATTAATGAATTGTTAATTTTAAATGCTGAATTATAACGTGCTCAGCGGCGAAGAATACAATCGCGAGGAAACCTGTATATTTTTGAAATAACAACTAAAATATATTTGTTAGATGTGTGAAGTCTTCCAATCCGCAGTGGAGCCGCGTGCTGGACTATGCCCTAATACCTTCCGTACAGAGGAGGCCTTTGCCCAGCTTTGGGACAAGTGGATATTGTTACTTTACTTCTGGTGGTACTTACTACGTCTGCTGGAAATTCTCTAAATGAGCGATGGTTTACTTACCATCGAGTTTATTGCTTGTGCATATGCCTACTGTTAATACAACAACTAAAGCCGTGTTACGATTAAATTAAATTTTATGTTAAGTTTTTTATTGTGCTATTATACATTTTCTCTCGTTCGAATAATCGTTGTTTAACGTTATTTGAGATTGTTTGTGTTCTGTAAAGGACCACAATAGACGCGTCAAGCGTTGCTTAGAATGCGAAAAAACGATGTAGTGACGAAAACTGTTTCGCTTAGGGTTGAATCGTCTGGTGGCTATTCCGTAAGACGTGGGTTCGATTCCTGCGGTGGTGTTTTTGTCCATTTTTTCTTCATTCAAAAGTTTATTAATGTGTTAAGCTAGTCGCACTGGAGAACTAAACTATTTTGTTGTTTTCATTCCACACCTTCGCAAGAACAGTTTTGCTTCCTTTTTCATAATGAGTACGGAAAACAGTGGAACAGTTTACTGGCCTCCGTTTTCGCGTTTTATAGTTATATGTGTATTTATGGCAACATTTGATAGGCTATTACTCAGCTAGTGCGTTACCATCTAGGTTACACATGTACTCACTATCTGGTTAGATAGTATACAAGACCTAGACCATTTTCGGGTAAAAAAAAAAATAAGAACGGTGCATATGAAACGTCAATTTTAAACGTCAGTTTACGAAAAACGGTTTTGCATGTATGCATTTAAAATAGGAAGTTCTTACAAGAGTTCAATGTGTTACCATGTAAGAGTTTAGTGTTTGTTCTTACACTTTGATCACGGTTGTTTCAATATTATCTGAGTTTGTCTACATGCGATGTTAATAACGCATCTGATTAAGGTAACTATTGCTTGAGGAGTGAAGGAATGTTTGGAATCTTAATGGCTAACCGTGGTACTTTCTCTCGATGTAGGAACACGATGTGGTAACCGTTGGCGTAGTTGTGCGGGGCATTTCGCGTGCTTTTATCACCTGACACGATTTAATATCACCTGAGACATACATGTTACAATTTCCATAAAACATCAGTTCGCATAACTGTACGCGTAACTGTCGAGCAAAGGAATCTGACGCCTCCTCTCGGCTAATCCCTCGAGTCGAGTGCTCTCTTTAAATGTCCAATGTTCAGAGGTCGGGAGGTCTGTCACGCTGGGCTTGTTCGATGGGGAGGTCGGTCACGCTGCGCGTGCTCGGTGGGGAGGTCTGTCACGCTGGGCGTGTCCGTGCAGGAGGTGCGGTGCGAGCGGGACGTGCTGCAGGCGCGCATGTCGGAGCAGGCGCTGCGCATCTCGACGCTGTCGGCGCGGCTCACGCGGCAGCGGCACGACGCCGACGCGCTCGCGCGCCAGGCGCACGGCGAGCTCGGCGTCAGGCTGCACGACGCCAACGCGGAGGTGGGTGCGCTCGACGCCGTGCGCATGCGCATGCGCATGTTTTGCACATGCACATGTTTTGCGAACGCATGTCTTATACGGCGCTCTGTCGTCCACATGTTTTACGACGGCATATCGTATAGGGAACTCTACCATACACATAATAATATACAACACAACCGCATGTCGTATGCGGCACTATGTCATCCACATGTTTTACGACAGCATATTGTATACGGCGCTCTGCCGTACACGTGTTTTACAATCGCTTGTTTTATACAGCACTCTGCAACTCACACGTTTTGCAGATGCATCAGTGCCACGTGACTGTGTTGTATGGAGTAAAACCCCGTGTTTATCTAAATGCTTGTATACACAGGGTGTTACTACAACACTGTCATGTGTTTTTCTACATAATTTACTGTCATGTGGTTTGTCTGTTTGTCCAATTCAACAGTCGCACTGTTATAATAGCGCGATTGTTGAAGTGGAGTAACTGATTCAAATCCCTGATTTAAATCCCAGCCATTCCATTAAACAGAGTGTTATAGGTCATCAGTAATAACAATCCTAATATAATCTTAAGTATTTCCAGGAATCGTAATGGATACTTTATTATATTCTTTATTGAACACCAAAAAAAACATGAAAGGAAATGTTACAGAACTATAAACTTAAAAGGTATAAACAATAAGGCGGTCTTATCGCTAAGGAGCGATCTCTTCCAGACAACCTTGTGGTTAAAAATATTTAATTTGGACAACGGTAGGTGGTGTAAGTGATAAACTTACATACTAATATTTAAATAAACTAAACGAATATGTTGTATTTTTGTATAATAATAATATACTAATATATACGAAATAAGATCCAATAGACATACATAAATCTAAACATATACTGTACAATAACTTACAAAAATATGTACAGGAAGAAAAGAATAAAAAATAAATATACAAATGTCGTCGGTGACAATCAGCTTGAACACTAAATTACTGATGGACATACTTTTCTTTTATGAATAAATACACATTAAAAGATATTAACACCAACATGTAACACAAAAGCTTGTCGCTAATGCCTCAAATTATATTTATGTATATAATATTTTTTTAATAATAATATTTAGTACACATTTAGGACACATTTACACACATTCTCTAGTCCCAAACTAAGCAACGCTTTTACAATGGGTACTAGATAACTGCCAAACATACCTTCTCTTGTAAATAAATACATATTATACATATATAACCACCCAGAAACTGGAAAAACACTATGTTCATCACACAATATTGCACCAGTAGTGGGAATCGAACCCACACCCTGTGGCGCAGGAGGCAGGTTCACTACCCGCTACGCTAATCGGGTCGTGAAATAAATCGTTGAACCAAATCTCATTGCCCAGGTGCAAAGGCTGAAGGAGGAGCTGGAAAGCAAGGACAAACAGCTGGCGCGTCTCAGGCTGCAATTGGAGGGGAGGCCCCGCTCTACGGAGCTCAACGCCTGCTGCGATGCATGTAAGTGATAAAAGAGCATCAGTCTATTGGAAAAACGTCCATTGTTATTGTAGAAATATTATGTTTACGCAAAACATTTTTACAGAAAATTATGATATTTTTAGAAACACTTTTTTGAGGAAGAGAACACCACAAATATCATGGCCACGTCTGAAATGAAATACGTAATTATCTGATGTTAAATTTAATAACAAACACTGTTGCAATATTAGGAGATCGACTTAATACAGTTTTTTTTAAACCCTTTGCTGCAAATTTATTATCACACACGGTTTTTTAACATTCAATCTAGAAATTACTATCTCAATGTTATTAAAAGTCATGGCACAAGATATTTTATGTAGTGTCTTATGCTAAGTATTTTATATACTTTAATTCGCTCTGTAGGTTACGAGTTTTACTCGAATAACATGATGGCACGCTTCGATTACCATACTAGACAACTATTTGTGTAACAGATACTTGTTTCGGATATGGGTTTTTGTCCACGTGAAATTTACATACGTATATAAAACGTCCTTACAACACAGGATAATGCTATCCCACGTTTAGGTTTCAATGTTTTAGAGGCGAATACTAAAATAGATCTATCTAGGTCGCAAAGATAGCTGGGACTACTCAACCTTCAAAATACAAATACAAGCTTGTCAAACATTGTCACATAGCCCTGTGGTGTGGTTATACAGTAGGTTGTGTCGTTGCTTAAATGGGCGGGCTCAACCGAGTACATACTGAGAAGTTGCCAGCCTCAGAAGATGCGCGTAAATTGGAAGTATTATACTTTTGCTTTTTGTCTTGTACCTTACCGGAACCTACCTTTTTAAAAGGTTTGCATCGCATCCGCAGTTGTTACAGATATCCAAAGGCGGTGGTAATCACTAAACATCAGTTGAATCGCTCGGTTGTCGCATTATTGACCTGAAAGTAATGTTACAATCAAAGGTCTTGTATGAACCCAACGATATTAAATCGTAAATTGACGTTGAGGACAAAGCAATCAAGTGTGCGGCTCATTATGAAGTCTGTCGTTTGTCCTGGTGTCATTGACATCATATCAGAGCTTCCGCCTGTCTTATCATTACGGGCGCTGCATCGGAAACTAGATTGGTGCGCGAATGCGTTCAATTGCTGTAATAATTTTTTTTTATGTGAGAAAGTGGCAAACGAGCTGGCGGTTCGTCTGATGTTAACTCATAACCGCCGCCCATCGATATTTGCAATACCCTTAGGGTTGCAGATGCGTTGCCACCTTTAAATAATCTGGGCCCCGGCTACCTCGCTGACCAGACGAAACGCAGAAGTAAACTTCTACTTTACGCTGGTCTTCTCTTAGGTAGTAGTTCTTACCCGGACGAACCTATCCGTTCTTTCAACAGTGAACACTCACCGGAACAGGCTATTGATGCATTTTAACATAAATTTGGTACACCCTACTTGACGTTTAATTTCATTTTAGTTTTTAATAGATTTTTACGCCCAACAGATAAAAAGACTTGTATGTCCGTTAACGAAATGTTCATGACAGTGATATTAAAGCTTCTGTACGTATACTCCGTTCAGGACTTGTGCCTGAGCCCCGGTATATGTCCAGACGCAATCCATGACTTAAAATATCCCACCGGTGCCCATGGACACCTTTAGCTTGAGGGTCAGCTGCGCCGCTCGCCTTTGACCCTTTTTTTCCGTGCCCGCCCCCTTAGCGTACGAGGAGCGCGCCGGTGACGTCACCGAGGAGGCCAACTCCGAGCTGGAGGCGGCGCTCGCCCGCCTCGAGGAGCTGCAGGAGCAGAACCGCTCGCTGCGGGAGGCGCTGGCGCAGCGCGACCGCCAGCTGCGCGAGCTCACGGGTGCGTTCATTTGCGCGCGCACGCTCTCGCGAACGCACACGCACGCACACGCACGCACACGCACGCACGCACGCACGCACCGACGTCACGCACTCACGATGCTACGTCTATCTACTGGTCTATGAAACGCTTGAGCTTTTTAACCGTAGCCACGACTGATCTCTGGACTGAGCTCTAATCAGTGTGACGTACAATTATGGGGCCACTGCTCTACGCATGGCATAGTCTCACCTCAGGAAAATGATATTTACATAAGAAATAAATAAGCGTTTTTATGTAACACAGTACTGTCACTACTCAGTATCGTCTATAAACTATTGGAAATTGACTTTGAGACATGACCCCATTTATGAATATAAGCTGCTTTTCTTCAAAGTCCAATGCCTTGCCCACTCAACTACGTTGATAGGATAATGCGATATGTTCATTTGATTCAAGCACCCGACAATAAAGTCACTTCTATTGCGCCAATGCAAAGTTCTAAAGAAGCTAAATTGCTCTATTTAACTAGCTGTATTTCTTATTGAGATATCTCTACTGTCACTACTCTACATATCTTTGTTTGTTTTGTATTTTTATTACCACGTAAGTGCCCCGATATTGTCGTAAATCATAATAAAGACTGTAGACAATGAAAATTGATAAAATTTTAATGATATATTTATATGCACAGTAGTACATAATTTATGATTCGAAAAGTATTTTAAATAACAATGTTTTATATTATTATTATTTCTTAAAAACTAGATAAAAAAAGAGAGTTTGTCAAAATTTGTTTTCACACGTATGCTGTCATCATAGGTGTAATCTTAGAATTTACTGCATTGGTTTGGAAGCCGTCCAACGCCTAACTCTAGCGCACCCTAGTTCGTCTAGTCCGACCGGGCCGTCGCGATTATAGCCCTGACTAATTCTCAGTGTCGTAGGAAGGACTTTGATCTACTTTCTAGGGGTAGTCCTCAGTACTTCTAGTATATAGCATTATTTATTTATTTATTCTCACACACATGTTTGAACAAGGGGGATTTATTGCCATCAGTATTATCGTCTAGTCAACCTTAATTCCAGAACAGTTTAGGTAGGTGCATCAATTACAATAAAATGAAATACCCGCAGCCCTGAAGCTGGAAGACGAGGGGCCGAACGAGCGCGGCGAGCCGGCCGAGGGCAAGGGCTCGGCGCGGACGCTCAGCGACGTGCTCTCCATCTCGGAGTTCGACGAGCAGGACCAGCAGATGCGGCGCCGGGAGCAGCTCGCGCCCCTCGCGCCCCTCGCGCCCCTCGCCAGCCCGGCGCCCCTCGCGACGGACAAGAGCCCCGACGCCACTCTGCCCCACGCGGCCTCGCTCCGCCTGGAGCCCGCGCCCCGCCTCGAAGAGTCCCCCCGCGGCGGCTCCCTCCCGCTGCACCTCACCTCCACGCGCATCTCGCACCCGCCCCTCCCCGACGAGGGCGAACGGACCCCACACAATATACTGGACAACTGCTCGCTCTATCCCAACAGAGACGCGAGTGCCAGCAAAAATGTCAGCGTCGAGCCGAAGAAGATCGACTTCTCGCTGGAAACCGTCGACAGGACCCGCGAGGAGGACCTCGCGTCGCTCGAGGAACTGGGCGTCGCTTCGGACCTGAAGCGGGAAAACTTCCACGACATATTGGTGCGGTTGAAGCACGAGGTGAAGAGATACAGGAGCGAGCTCGACACTTGCAAGTCCGAGCTGAAGAACGCCGAGGAGCAGCTGTGCGAGTTCCCCGCCCTGAAGGAGGAGGTGGACGAGCTGAAGGGGCTGCTGGAAAACACGATGGCCACGATGGAGAAGGACAAAAAGTTCTACGAGAACCAGCTGGAGAATTTCTCGTCCAACAAGAAACTTCTGGAGCAGAGACTAGCTGAGATGACCCAAGAGGTCAATGACAAATCTAAAGACCTGCATTTACTCAAAGAAGATATACTCAGGAGGGAGAACATGATCTTAGAATTGGCAAAAGAGAAACGCAACCTGACGAATAAACTGAATGAGTTGGAGGTTAAAATTGACGAGCTGCAAAGCAGAAACGAGGCGCTACAGAAACACGAGACCGAGAACCATCAAATGAAAGAAAAGATTAAAGAACTGGAGAAGCTGGAACAGCTAGTATCCGAGAAGAACCAACAAATCGACAGCCTTAATCAGCACTTGGACAGGCTGGACGACTTGCAGAGAACCCTCAATGACAAGAACGAAGAGTTGGAGAGCCTAAAGGAAGCGTTGCGAGAAAAGTGTAATGAACTCTATCAGGCGCAGAATGCGGTCTCGAATTTGAACCGGGACGTGGAGCGGATAACCGAGGAGAATAAACAACTCGAAGACCAGAGCAAAGAGCTTAAGTTGAGAATGAGTAAAGTGGAGAAGGAGCGAGAGAACGAGTCGCTCCGCCTGCAGAACAGCGAGAACGTACTGGAAAGGTTGAGCGCTGCCAACGGCGAGTTGACAGCGAAGCTCGAGGAGATGGAGAAGCTCAAAGAGAGACTGAAGGAGAAGGAAGAGGAGGTGGAGCGGCTGCGCGCACAAGTCAGCGCCGCCCCGCCGCAGATCGCCGCGCTGCGACACGAGCTCGACTTCAACCGGAGAGAACTCAACGACAAGGTCAACTCCCTTTTTCATATTCTTTCTCTGTCCTCTTCATATATATCTTTATAACACCGCCTTTAACTTAAATACATTTCCCCCTTTCTCTAAAAGTTATTTTTAACCACAACTTGTAATTTTTATATTTAAATTTTTGATAGGCGCCTTAGCCAGTTGTATATTTTAAAGTCCAAGTAAGTTCTGATGTCTGCATAACATGGGATTTTAAAGGATAATAATGATTGTAATATATATCGTTTGAAATGCAAGCAGGCGTTCGAGCTGGCGAAGGCGAAGCTGGACGTGGGCGAGCTGCGGGCGAGCGCGAGCGAGCGGGAAGCGGACAACGTGCAGCTGAGGGGCGAGGCGCAAAAGCTGGCGGAGGAGAAGCGCCAGCTGGCACAGCAGCTGGAGGCGGTCGTCGCCAGGTGATATAATTGTTTTTTTAAGAGTTGATGACCCGGCGGCGGAGGCCAGAGGGTTCGATTTCTACTACTGGAAAATATTGTGCGACTCGATGCTTTGGACGAGGACAATGCAACGGAAACGCGATTATGTAGCATCCGATTTTTATTATTAATTAATACATTTATTATTAGATAATAAATTAAAGTACTTAAATTGAGTGATTATTATTTTTTCGTTTTAGATTTTTTTTAGTTTTATTTGAATTGTGTGTAAAATTTATTATCCCTGCGCACTTAAATATTTATTAATAATATTGTTGATTATCTTTGTTTCTATTATATATTTTATTTGCAGACTGCGTGAGGAATCGAATGTTAGCGAAATAAAGACGAAACTGAGGGAACGAGCCGAGAGCTGCCACGAACTGGAAATGGAGCTGCACGAGATGAGGGACAAGATAGATAGGTATGTAGTAGTGCCTATTGTATATCTGAATGTGGGAAGTAGATCTGTAAAGTCTGTTGTATGGACACATCATACAATATGGTGCGTAAGGAAATTGTGACACGTGTATAGCGCATAGGTAAATAGTTGTATATATATATAGCGCCGTTGTAATTTTAGTAACTCTTCGCCATTGTAATGTTATATATTCGAAGATGAAAATTATTCGAACACACACTCAGACATCATTTAGTAAAAGTAAAAAGTAACAGCCTGTACATATCCCAATGCTGGGCAAAGACCTCATCATGACAGAGGGTATAAGGGCAAAGTCCACCACGCGGCTCCACTGCGGATTGGCGGAGTTCGCATATCTTCGAAACTTATTCGAAAATTTTTTTTCGAATTATTTCGAAAGTATGTAGGTTTAGTTGACCGCTGAGCACGTGATGAGTATAATTATCATCACTCAGGTTAGGTATGCGGTGTACGAGTAGCCGAGTGTATAGGAATGTGTTTAATTGTCCTGCCGATGTGAACAGTCGTAGCCGCCTCGGCGCGCGCTCGCCCACGGCCGAGCTGGAGCGCGCGCTCCGCGCCCAGCTGCACTACTCGCACGCGCTCGACGACCGCATCATGGACCAGGTGCGTTTCCGTATTAAAAGCTGGCCTGCGGTTATCACTTAACATGAAAAGAAATACATTATGTGTCAATTATGCAGAACCTTGCTTTTACGTATTGGTTGTAATGTTATTCCTTCACAGATCCTGTCGGCGAGCAGCGAGGAACACGAGCACGTACCGAGCCTGGCGTTGGAGACGTCTTCAAGCGACAAGTGAGTTCAATTGCAATATAAGGGTTCATCTTCGGTAAGTGTCATTTGTAAAGTGGATCATTACATGTAGATCGTGTCGCGTTGATCTTGCACGTGAATCTTGTCTCATGGTTCTTCCCTCGTCACGTGGGCCCTGTGGCAGGTGGTCCCGCTCCGGCGGCGAGTGGGGCGACGAGGCGCTGCGGCTGCAGCTGGAACACCTGCGCGCCAGACTCGCCGACAAGGACGCGCTCATCGCCGAGCTCAACAGGTGCTTTGCTCTCTTACTTTCCTACCATAAACTTAGCTCAATGTGCTGATATTCGGAAACTGCAAGACGGGGAAAATATTTCAATAACTCATGACGCTGATTAAAACATGGACAAGAAATAGCATAATTTACGATTGCACTTAAATAAGAAAATATATTCTAAAAGTATCGCATTCCGTCCGTGGTAGAGCCATGGAAGAACCATGGCCTCGTACAATACTGGCGTGAAAGGAGATTATTGTACTTGTACCTTGTACCCATTGTAGTAAGTCATTGTAGACGTCCATAGTCGGCGGAATCATCAAACAAGAACAAAATGTACTTAATGATGTACTATTTAAAGGATCAGAGACCAGCTGGTGCAGGACTGGCAAACGGTGAAGCTGCGCTACGAGGCGGAGCGCGACAACTCTGGCCGGCTGCAGCTGCTGCTCGACGCGCAGAAGGAGACGGCGGAGAGTCTGCAGGTCTGCTTAGTAAAATAGAAATATTACAATTTTCGTGAGACGTTAGGAACGGAATTATAAACGAGCTGAACGCACGTCCAATTGGCGTGTGTACCACTTGTTTCGGACCTTCATCAGGATGAGTGGGATGATTGAGGAATTGTTCTTGAGACAAGCTCTTGCAATACACGATTTGCGTACGGCCCATAATCTCTTATTTTGGCATTTTTTAAGAGCACGTTTCCCCAATGCTTCTGAAAAAAGATTCGGTGTAAAAAAAAATTAGATTGCAACTCTGCAAGGTTCACAGAAACGTCGATCTGTCCAGCGATTTACGCGACCAATTTAGAATTATATAATAGCAAAACGGTTGCTCAACACGGGTGAAAATCGTTTTAATCCTTCGATCGATCGACGATCATCTTCGTTTTTCGTTACGCCCGCAGAGCCAGGACGCGAACATGATCCAGATCCTGAAGAAGCGGCTGGAGAGCGCCATGCAGTCCGAGTCGGAGCTGCTGGAGCGCGAGCGGGCGCTGCGGAGGCGCCTCGCGCACTTGGAGGCCTCCGCCGCCTCGCCCGCCTCGCCCGCCCCTCCCGCCTCGCCCGTTCGCCCCGACGCCGAGGCGGAACGTAATCTGCAGCGACGCGACGCGCAGGCGGAGGGCGCGGAGGTGCTGCGCGCGCGCCTCTCTGCGGAGCGCGCGCGCTGCGGCGAGGCGCAGGCGCAGCTGCGGCTGGCGCGCCGCCAGCTGGACGAGCGGCAGCGCGAGGCGGCCACGCTGCGCGCCGGCCTGGCCGAGCTGCGGCGCCGCAACGGCGAGGCGGGCGCGCAGCTGGCGCGCGCCAACCGGCTGCTCGCCGAGCGGCAGGCGGCCGTGGCCGGCCTGGAGGCCAAGCTGGCCCAGCAGCTGCAGCGCGCCAGGCGCGACTCTATGGTTTGTGGTATATCTTGTAATTGCTCATTTACGCTGACTGGATTTTCGATTATTTTGAATACACGCACATCGTTACAAATTTTATTTACTCATATTCTTTTGGTTTTAATTCGGAAGCAATGGTGTGAGATTTACCATTTTTTCACAATGTGATTTAGAGTTTTTGATTTCTTAACGGGGAACGAATTTATTTCGGACAACATAAATCTTACATTAACGGGAACAACTGCCAACAGAGCAGCGTGCAGAGCCCTCAGAGGCCCGCGCTGGGGACGCCCCTCGCCAGCCAGACCCCTCGCGGAACCGCCGACGACAAGGACCAGTTGGTACGTACATCATTCGATATATTATTTAAGTGAAAGGCAAAACTGCCAGCATTATTTACGTCCTGAATTAGTAAGATTCGCAGACCGATCATTTATTTGTGAGATCTATTGGATGGGACAACAATCTAGAACTACTGTAAGAACGGGACTTGTGAATATTAATGACGGTTGCAATTAAAGAATTAATTATTACTGTCGCTACATCATTTGACTGCATTTACATGTTTTAGTGATATAAAAAAAGGAACTTTATAACGATTTGCGCAAATGCAAAACAAACAGGAATCGTCTCGCTGTAAAACCGTCACCGCCATATTTCTTACATCTTTATTCAATGTCTGAAACAATAAATGATTACGCCCATCTATTTAAATGCCATCAACGGTAACAATACTTGATATAAAATCTCTCGACAAGGCCGTCATAAAGTAGATATTACTTGACGTGCCGTATCGTCGCAATAACACTAACGGCCGGTTTCTGAAACAATGATATCGTAGAAGTCAACTAATCAGCTGTCGAATGGATTTTCAAATCTGATTTGAGTTGCCAAAAATCGTAAACTCTCTGAATTGATCAGAATGATCTTAATGATCAGAACTCATACAACAGACATGATTTTTTTTGCCGTCTTTATAAATGACGGTATGGAACCCTTGGTGCAAGTGTTTGACTCGCATTGGCCGGTTTTTATAAAATTCTATGTTCTTATGTTGTGTTTACTCACGATTAAAATCTGACCATTGGTGTTGGTTAGTGTGTAAAAAGATATGTCCTAACGTTTATATTATGGAAACAATTGATGCATAAACATTGAAATTACTGTCTTTGACGCGTGGCAAGTTACGTGGCCTAAAAATACATGCAGGTAAATACCAATGTATTCTTCACATCACAAAATATCCAAAATTGTTGTTCTCCGATTCGAAATTCTAATTCTAGTTCAGAGCAGCTTTTCGAGATTTTTACAGCCGCATAAGGTAAACACCAAATTCCCTAATAAATAATAGTCGTTTATTTCTGTTCTCTCGTTTAATTTAAACAAAATCTATATATCGAACGTTAAACATTATTTGATAAGCAAATTGTCCGAATGATATATAACAAAACGACATTCACAGTGATTCAATTTCGACTGAACGACATCCGAAAATGTATTTCTCTCCCAAACGCTGCATCAGTATTTGAGACCGAAATTGGTCTTGCTCGGCCCTTCCTCCAAGTAGTCCGTCACCTTGGGCACCTCCACGGCGCTGGGCTGGTCCTCCAGATCGCCGCACAGTGGCTCGATGGCCCACAGCGTCACCGCGTGCACAGCGTACAGTGCGCCGTACAGGGTGTACAGTGCGACGGTGGCGCCGCCCAGCGCCAGCGGCACCACTTTGCGGCCGAGCTCCTCCTGCGCCCTCCACGACTCCTCGGTCCATGTGCGGAAGTAGTGGCATAGCTTCCTGGTCAACAAATGCAATGTCAAAACAAGTTGAAAATATTTCTATGTAATATGAACGATAATGTTTCGAATGAATGTTTGACCTTTTCGTGAACGGAATCCTAGTTATTTTGTACGAATGAACTATGCAGCAATTTTGCCTAAGATGGGAATGGATACGTCGATACACAACTTGAGACAATTTATCATGAATGTGTATTGGTCCAAAATTAGGAAGAACTAGCAGCTTTGGTTAAGTTTTAAGGAACCAGAAATTATCTTAGAACTATGCTACTTCTTCTTTCAATGACAGTTTCTCGTGATAATCGAATGAAATTGTCGAGGTGAACGCAAGTGTCGTGGGCGATTCGAGTGTGGTACGGCGCGGTTGCAAGTGAGTTGACGAGTGGTGGGGGTGGTGATGGTGGGGGCGGTGGGGGCGGTGGGGACGGTGGGGACGGTCACCCGAGCGGCGGCAGCGCGGCGTCGAGCGCGGCGAGCAGCGCGTGCAGCGCGTGCGCGGCCAGCAGCAGCGCCGCCCACGCGCCCACCAGGTACGGCGGCCAGCGGAAGCTGCCCAGCGCCGCTGCGGGATCGACGCGTTCCCGGTTCAAAGTTCGAATCTTTACATCGCCATAGCCGGTGACGGGCTTATTATACCAATCGCGAATCATTAATTAGGTGGAACATTCAACCAACAGGTTCGAAGTGTCTTCGCACCGTTTGGACTGGTAATCGATCCCTGATATATCTACTTCCCCAAGATGCACTATGTTCTCTCTTAGCACGTGTATCATTAAATCTACCCTGTCGTTTGTCGTCTTAGCTAGTTAGCTTACTGTGAAGATCTGTGCGTTAGCTGAGCTCTATGTTAGTAGTGTGAGGATCTGTGCGAAGATCGGTCGGTTAGTTGTTGGTTACCTTGCATGAGAGCGCGGCTGGCTGGCAGCGGGTCTGCGCGTTGCGGCAAGGGGGCCGAGGGGGCCGAGGGGGGCGCGGGGGCGGCGAAGGAGGGGGGCGGCGCCTCTTGAGGGCACTCCGCGCGCGACCTCTGCCCAACATAAAAACCATGCAAGGACGTGTCAGTTTATAGAAGTATCTAGTTTAGCAAAGTTTTGACTCCTGGCGTAGACGATTTTGGTTTCGATATTCTCAGAAGGACGTTTTTTTAACACCTAAAACTAGAACCGTTTTAAGACTAAGCCTAGTTTTAATACAAAAGCCGGAGCGGAATGGTTAACAATTCGACGCGCAGGGTGACCGAATTAATATTTAGACTGCACTGCTCTACACGGGTTAATGTCTGTGTGTACTCGTCTCATTCATGATTATTATAAGTAAATTTTTGTAGATGAATGGATAAAAACTTTCGGAGCTGCAGAATTCGAACCCACGTCTTCTGGTTTCGCGCCCAGATAAACTCGAACGAAGCGAAAATCTCGAAATCTATCTACGTTCGTTCTATTCCATTTTTAGCAATGCTTGGCGCCATCTAGCGTGCATCCCTTACAACATACAACACCTTACAAATAAAATTCAACGATGAATATTTGTAACGAGATATCTCATAAACTTCAGCTTCATCATGACATTTCTGCATCGAAGAGGTTACTAAGGACCTCAATCGGACCTTACAAATAAGGGGTATAGATGGAGGCTCATAGGTACCGATGGCGTGACCCTGTGGTGGGAGAGGGGCGCGCTGACCTTGACCTTATCCGGCTGCCGCGGCTCGCGCGCGTTCAGCTCCGTCTTCGTCACCGACGGGTGGTCTCCGCACATCCTGCAACGGAACGCCCAATTCAACGCTGACCACTTTTGGTTCGTTCTCTCGAGGCGGCGTTGAGAAATAACTAATTGTCCTCCACTTGACGTGAATTATAAATAACGAAAAAAATTATCTCTATATGAGCTGTGATAGCTCATTGTCCGGGAGATCGCTTTTTAACCGACTTCAAAAGAAGGAGGTTCTCAATTCAACTGTATTTTTTTTATGTTTGTTACCTCAGAACTTTCGACTGAAAACCGATTTTGATGATTCTTTTTTTTTTATTTGAAAGCTGATGCTTCCCATGTGGTCCCATATTAATTTCATTGGTATGGATCTTGGGCTCCGGAGATAATTAGGGAGCTCCTGAAAATCAATTATAAAGTGAACACAGAGCGAGATATTTCAAGTAGGTTTTGTTTTTCGTTGGTAAATAATGGTTATAGTTCAATATAGTCGAGCAACTTTAATTCGATCCCAGGTGTCAGCCACTAATGAAATTGTCAAATTTAAGTGCTAACATATCGCGTGGTCAACGGTGAAGGAAAACATCGTAAGGAACCCTTTAAATTTTCGAAATAATAACAAAAAAATAAAATTTAGAAAATATGTGAAGCCTGCCAATCCGCAGTGTAGAGGAGGAATTTCCGGCCTACATTTTGCTCGATTTCAAATATTTGGCACAAAAATGTATGTACAGTTATGTATAAACATGTTGATGTAATATTTTATAAAACAATAGCTTAGAAATGTTTTATGAATCATAAGGAATGTTTTAATTCAACATGAAAATATTTTATGTTAATAAGCCTTCTAGTTTTAATCGAAAGCACTTTTGCCTTTATATTTCAACATCCCAAAGAGATAGTTTTTGAACATTCATGCAAAAATGTATTTACACAAACGTATACCACAGAGCGGCACCGTTTCTACCAATTCTATTATTAATGCCGATCTTTTGACTCGCGTTCGTTGACTTACACCATGTCTGGAAGCTTGGGTGAATCTCCTTTAGGTTCGGTTACAATTGAGGACATTTCTTAAAATCTTCTCCGATTATTACATTTCAAATTTACGCTTAAAAAAATTAAGTTTTCACAATAAACATAAAAAGCAAAATATACCGAAAAAATTACGCGAACATTATCGACATTAACGTCAAAGTGACTTATAATAACGCACTCTATTTTTAAAAGTGCAACCGTTTTGAACAGCGCACGGAGGTTGAATGGATCTTATCATTACCTATGTATAATTATTTCTTTTGAAGTGTATTGTTAATAATAATGTATCCTTTTATGATATTACGTAATGAAATTGTGAAAACTTTAATTATTATGTATTAATTTATAGTCTTCATTGTAATTATTTTATAGTCTTATGATTTTTTGTTATTATATTTTTTATGTATTTGGGGAGTAAGCTTGTGAAAGCGTGACGAAAGCGTTACGAAAAATGTGATGTTACGCGAACGTGATTTCTTGATATCGTAATTTCATCTCATTCTTGAGCAATTTTATATATATATATATATTAATGTTTTGTTCAATACTTTAAATATTATAAATTTAAAGTGAATAAAATTGTAAATTCATCCATGGAGATAGCGATTACATCAGATAGAGCTAAAGAAGTTTCTATTCAGTGGTGTGGTCTAAAGCACACTCGTTTTTTTTTTTTTTGGAAAAAGGAACAAAAGATACTGATTACTTCCGTAAGATTGGGGTTGGACATTTTGGTTCGAAGCAAAGTGAAATGAAAGCAGTCAACTACGATGAAGAGAACAAAGATTAAATTTTTATCAATAGGCCTGGGTCGACTATGATAGTAGGGCCTTTAATATATCGCAGTGTCTGTCTTTGCGATCATTGATGTTTATGTAAGCTGTTGTAACGTTGTTTAATTTTCTTTTTAAATAATAAATTGAACTTTATACAACTGAAAGACAAGCTTTAGCACCAACTGTTTTTAGGGTTCTGTACCAAAAGGGTAAAACGGGACCCCGTTACTAAGACTTCGCTGTCTGTCTGCCCGTCCATCAGTCTGTCTGCCACCAGGCTGTATCTCATGAACCGTGATAGTAAGACAGTTTAAATTTTCACAGGTGATGTTTTTCTGTGACCGCTTTTACAACAAATACTAAAAAACAATAAAAAATTAAGTGGGGCTTCCATACAACAGACATAATTTATATGCCGTTTTTATTATATTTCGAAGGATTTGGAGAGAAAGACCTGCTGACTCTTTAGAAGATTATTCACTAGCGCTAGGTCCAACATAAAGCACACTATAGTTCCACAGTAGTTCCTCTAACGCCATCTAGTATTGAATAGGGGGATTTGTGTTGTCTTTGATCTTTGAGTGGTTTTGCTGTTGACGCTAGATGGCGCTAGTTTCTTTGTGTGTTCGTAACAGTATGTTTGTTATGCAAAAACTGAAACAATCATTCGTACCAGTGTTTTACTTGGCAACAAATGGACTATAGTACTAAGACTTCTGCGTTGCCCTATAACAATTGCGACTTGCTATTAATTCAAAAGTTAAATACAAGTAGGAGCTACTGTTTGTCTCAATCTCATCGATTCAAATGATAACACACTCTGGTAATGAATTGATCGACTCCTGGCTCTTTCAATCGTACCTTTTATATTGTATTTAATATATTCATGTCACACAAAGTACGTCAAAAAATGGAAAAAAGAAGTAGCCCGCTGAGTTTCTTTTGCCGGTTCTTCTCAGTGGCTTTCTTCTCCGAACCGGTATTTTGACCGATTTATTTCGAATACTACCAGTATTATGACTATCAATAAGTGAGTGTAATGCTCCTGTTGAATAAATATATTTGAATCCCGTTTACAGTTAATCGCTGTGCATGTGGTCCTATTTAAGTTGTCTTCCGCCCCCAGATCCGCTACCTCCACGGGCGCTGCATGCGCCTAGAGAGCTGGCGCAAGGCCCTCGTGTGGCAGAAACGCTACTTGCAACGCGTCCTGGCCGGCTACACGCGCTTCGAGCGCGGCCTCCTGCAGAACACGCCACACCTGCCACACCTGCCACGGGAGCCCCGCCCCACCGGCAAGAAGCTCTTCAAGTGAGTATGACTTTAAACCTTTAAATACAATAATGGCTCTCCTTTATGTTTGGGTGTGTACAGATTTGCGAACAAAAGATTCGATTCACACACTTTCATTATACTTCCACATGACGCCGGTCTTCTGTGAGGTCGTGGTACTTACCCGGACGAGCCTGCCCATTCGTGCAACAGCCGAGGCTGCTCCGTGGCCCTAGCACAGTTTAACCTCGGCATTTGTGAACGGCAGGTGCGTGGTGACGGTGGTGGTGACCGTTCTGCGAATGGAGTTCCTAGTGCGGCGTCGGCAGCAGGCGCGCAACGCCGCCGCCTGCCTCTTGCGCAACGACAACCAGAATGACGCTGACAACAACGCTTTTGCGTCGCGGCACAATATCACGTAAATATTGACGGCGGGAGTCGATAATAAACACGAATCTTTCATTCCAACATTTCTTTCCTTAAATTTATAAGTTTTGGTAATTTTACATTATAGTTAATGCATTGAATATTTTATTTTGCTCAAAGTAACGTACGTTACGTACGTTAAAATACGTACCTTATTTAACGGACGAGAGAATATTAACCTTTCTAATCTCTTCTTCGTCTGAACACATGATCATGGTCTCAATTACAAATGCAACTATATATTGCACATGACACACATTATGTGTTCCTTAACGTCGCGTTTTATTCAATTTAAACGAGCATATTTGATGTATCGAACAAAATATTAATTTAAAAAAAAATGTTGAAGAACGAAATGAAACTACAATATAATCAAGAAATCACCGTTCGCGTAACATCACACTCTTTGTAATGCTCCCGTCTGGCATTCACGAGCTTACTCCCCAAGTAAAGGTGCGTAAAGAAGTTTTACTTGAAAACTCGACAGGCCAAAATCAAAACTCCCTCCTATACGTATCAGCTCAGTTTTATTGGAAACACGACAGTCTCATAACGAATCGTCCGTTGTGCGCAGAGGCACGCCGCTGGTGACCCCGCGGGCGCTGCTGGCGCGGCGGCTGCGCCTCGCCCCCTCCACCCCCTGCGCCCCCTCCACCCCCTGCGCCCCCTGCGCCCCCTCCGCCTCCCCGTGCCCCCCCTCGCCCCTCGCGCAGCGCACCCCCCGCGCGCCCTTCACCCTGCACACGCCCCACTCGCCTCTCACGCCGCTCGGAGCGCTAAGCACCGGTGAGGATAAAAAGAAAATTAAATCCATACTCTAAAATATGTATATTTAGTCTATTTCTTATTTATTCATAAATGTTGCCACAACTTGTCTTGGAATAGATGACAGCATGATTCTTATTGCTTTCGTTGTTTATATTAGCGTGCCCAATTTTTCATATTGTTCAATGTTACTCGAGATCGAACATGACACAGATTGTTGTAAAACAGTGGTCCTGTCTCCAGATCGGGTTTTAACGTATGATTATAAATGATAAATTACATGAACCCATTGAGATAATCAGTAAAAATTTTTTGAGTTACTATCGGGTGTTCCACAAGGTATCAATCTAGAACCGTCAACTTAATCTTCGACAAAATTGGAATTATTTGTAAATATCAAATCAAAGTATTTTATGGATATTACAGCGTTTTAATTTTGATTTTTAATTTCCGACGTTTCGTATATATGTAACCCATCCTAATGCGAAAACTTGCCGATTTCTTTTTAAACTTTTAACAGTGGACGACGAGGTGAAGGGGTCTCTGGGCGTCAACTCGCCTCGTAATGAGTTTTACTTACTCAGGTTGGTATTACATCATTTTAATGTAATAACAGATTTAGTAGAAATTTTTATTCATATTAAATTATATATTATAGTGATTTATTTTAAAAGAAAGGATTGAATTTCTAACAGTTCCACGAATGTATCAAACTAAACATCAGAATAGTGTAATTCGAAGTTGGTTTGGTTCTGTTACTTTTCTCCTTGGTTTATAGGTTCGATTCTCTCAAGTAAGTGTTACCAATGCAAAACTGGCTCTTGCTGCGATTGTATTTAAATCGTCCAACACGGGATAATCTTACCCTATTGTGCGGGTGTTTATTTTTATGAAGGATTATTTGGCCTTTCACGCAGTTCCCCCCGTGGCGACGCGGCGTCCGAGTACGCGCTCGGCCGGCCGGAGGGGCCGGACGTGCCCTGACCGGACACGGCCCGGACGGCCGGATCCCGCTGCCGGACGGCCGGACGGCCGGACGGCCGGACATCCGGACGGCCGGACATCCGGACGGCCGGACATCCGGCCCGCGCGAGTGGACGACCGCGATAGAGACGTTTGTGTGAACATATCCAAAGTACTGTCGTAGAATAGGATCGATATGACGACTGAACGGTGCTTCTCGACTGACGTATAAGAGTCGCATCGCGAATATTTTTGTAACTTGCACTTTTTTACCTTTCAAACAAACTATGTACTACGAATCCAATGACGTCTGCAATGATCACGATCTCATTTGCTACATATTAACAGTGAATTTTCATAAAGCTGATGTTTTCCACTAGCTTTTTGTTGTGGACACAAAGCTATTTATGTACTAATTCGTAATGTGTTAGAGGGCAAACTGCTCCAAATCGATTTCAATATCCGATGTACAAGAAACTCCCCCGCTCTTCGTTCGGAATGAAGCATTTCAAGTATTAGACTGGTGCCAAATCGAGTGTGTTTAGTTGTCGTTGTTATTATTTATTGAAAATAGTCTAAGGTTGTCAAATGATTGCGCAGTTTCGGTTGTAATTACTCCGCCTACGTGTTTTCTGTGGACCTTTCGAATTGTTTCCGATGTCACTGATGAAGTTATGAGTGATATGTGTTAAGTTGGCGCAGGTGCAGATAACTAAGTTCATTATATAATGATCAAATTTCTGATCATAACAAAATGGCATATATTTCTGTATGATATTGGAAACTCAATCTTAATAAGGTGGAATTTTGTTCATGAATAGAATAAGTTGCGTTGACTTCAAGTGCTGAGATGGTGTAAATTTTTCTTTCTCTTAGATTTAATTTATTGTCCTACATTGTCTTAATATGAAATAAGCCCAAATCTTGACTTTATTTTATTTGTTTTTATACATTTAGACTTTATCCATAGAGAATTGTTAAAAGAAAAAAATGTATATCATAGGGTGTGACGATGCCATAATTCAGAGCCAAATCCAAGCATAAAACAACTTGCCATAATATCGTATGTACGTTTAAATTGCCTCGTTAAATTAAGTGGTAGTTAAGTTAGGTTTTGGGACGCACGAAAGTACAACTTAGATTAAGCTTAGACTAAGTTAGCGACCACGACGACCGAAGCGTTTCTCGAACGTTCCACGATCGATCGCATCTCCTGTACTGCATTTTATCATATTTGTTCTAAAATGAACGTTTATATGAAATATTCAAAAAGTAACTAGATAATTCCATGTATTGAGGTCGTCAGTTCTTGTACTGCTAAACTATACCCTTGTTTTTATTCTTTTTTTGCAATTATTATAAAAGGCAATTCTTCTCGTTGTATATGTTGCTTTTATAATCTATCCTTAATTTATTTGGAATTAGAGGATTGGTTTTATTTTGCAGTACAGTGATTTACGTAATGCTTTACTCGAATGACTTTTCAATTGGTCCTTTATTTTTGTTATTCTTTTTTTATTTTAGTACATTATTATTTTTTATTAAGAAATAATCCTGACACGTGCTCGAGACTTGTGACTTTTGTAAATGTTTTGTTTCTATTGTTATTATTGACTTTAATTTCTTTAGTTTAATAGTTTCTTATGTGTTGACTACATTGTATATATCTACTATCTTTATAATTTAACATATTCTCAAGTTGCGCTATGAAATGATACGCTTATATTTTTTCACTGTACAGATTTTATTGTAAAACTATGAAAGGATTGTGTCTTCGAACAAACATGCCTTAACTTTAACCATAGACAATACTGTTTCAACCAAAGCCAACAGAAGTATTATTGAATTTTTGACGAATGTTTGATGCTTTCATATCATTAAAGGCAAACGTTAAAACACTTGTTGATACGCACACAGAAATTTAATATCTGATTATAGAAATACATTAATTTTATCATATTTAGTTTACAAAAAAATTTATAACGTTGTTCGTAATTTCGGCGGTCGAGAATTTGTAGCTCGATCCGTGTAATTAGCAAAAGATTTCAATTTAAAAATACGAAGAACTTTTTAAACCTTTAGAACAGCACTATAGACTTATTTTTTAATTGTAACAAACAACGCATGCGATATGACGTAAAAGGTTCTATGTTCGTATAGTTTTATCGAACACCACGCAATTTGGTCCAAGTAAGCTTTGTATGAAAACCGATTAAATAGTCATGTATGCATAGAATAGTTTTGCGTCATATCTCTCGCGCAAAGTTTCTTGTAATGTAACATGTAAGCCACCGTCAGACGAATCTACACTCAACGTGACCAAAGAATGTGTATCTAATTTTTATTTTACTTTTAATTTGTTTTAATCCATTATGTGAGCCCATCTAAAGTATTCGGAGCGGGTAGGACGTGTACGGAAGGCGCATCAGTGGATGTAGACTCGTGTTGTCACACTGAGACGAGAACGGCCGCAACTTGCGCGTCTGTCTGCTCGCGTGTTTCGGGCACGCCCGATCCGTGCTTTTATTCCGCAATGAAATTTCGTCATCTCTAGTCACGCGCCCATCTCGTCACTGTGCCATAAACGCTCTCTAGGCTATAATTGAACCGGAAAAGTCGATGAAAATAAAAAGATAAATAAATAAAATGATATTTTCCATGATTATATTATGCGCATTCTCATTTCCCGCCTTCCGGCTTCCCCCCCACGGCAGCCTTTATGGGCGGCAGAGACGCCCCCTCCTGAAAGTAATAAATATATAAATACATTTTGACGACTCCGTGACTCAGTTGCCGAGGTATCGGCTTCGGCGTCGGGGGTCGGGTTCGATTCCCACACGGGACAACTATTTGTGTGACGCATGGATAGTTGTTTCGCATCTGGATGATTTTACAACGTCCCTACAACACAGGATAATTTATCCTAAAGTAAGGGAAATGTTTTCAATATTTAAACAAATTTACAGCAACGGTAACGAACGGTTTCAATATTGAGTTTAGTATTGTGGAAGTAATAAACTGAACTAATAAATGTCAAATATCTAACGCTAGATATCAACAGATAGAAAAAATATTGAAACCAGCCGTTCAATTTGTTCGGTCAGTCTACGGTTTTGGTAAGTTGACACGAGCTATTATATTTGCGGCTATTATTTCCCATTTTGACAAGTTTCTTTAACAGCGTCTGCTTAAATTATGTTGCATCAACGCCTGCGCTTACCATCAATGAATCTGGAATTCGGTGTCACAGAATTAAGATTTCTTTTAAAAATGACTCACGTCCTCTCTAAAATTAGCGAATTCAATAGCAGTTAGGAGCTAACTCAGCTCCGTTCTCTGCGGGCGGTTCAATTTTATTAAATTTTAGACTAATACCTACTAAGCTCGTGTAAACTAACCCTAAATACGTTACAAGGTCCGCAACAACTACTAAGATTGTAACATATAACTCACAAACAGCCTATAAATGATGTTAAAACTGGGCTATTGACGCAATTTTACGTGCAACCATAATTTTCCATTTTATAAACTTATCCATTGCAATAATTGCAAGTAAACAAAATGAATCCATAAATTGTATATTGACGTGTCCACCTCTGCACTCTTCGTTTGTAATCCGTTGGCGGGGCCTCTCCTTTTGTAGTCCTGCTCAGGTGTTTTTTCCTGGGCAACGTTTGTATCCCCGGCCTGAAATCGGCGACACCGTTCATGGTCTGACTATGGGAAAAGTTGGAAAACTTTCACCTGCCCTTGTCGTGGCGGAAGGGCTTTTCAGCTATCCTCAGTAACGCCAAGAGGAACCCAACATGTGTGTGCCTGCGGTGTTCTTACAATATGTACCCGAGAGGGCCGTTCTCAATGGGCTCATTGAGCCCACTCTGGATGTGTGCTGGATGTGTGTGGTGCAGGGAACAGGTGGAGTGTTTGTTTGTAGGGGAGGAGAAAATCTCCTCGTTTTCTGCAACGGTGGAGGGACCATAGAGGGAGAGGACTGTTGCTATAGCGATGCGCCGTGCTCCCTACTCTCTGTGATCTCTGTTGTGGGCCAAAAGGCTTGCTCATTGTTAACATTGGCGCTCCTGCTCTTTTGATGCTGAGCAGCGACCTATGGGAGTCCGTGCCCGTACAAAAGCGGGGGAGCAGGAAGCCGCGCTTTATATTGCAGAGAGGATAGGGGATTACTCGGGAGAAGGATGCTAATACGGCCATTCAAGTGCCTTGGGTGTAACAATGTGGGTAAAGTCGTTCCGAATGCGACATGACCCGCTTCGGCCCCGTATGTAAGTAAGGGCGGATGTATTTAGATCTACTAAGGTGAATGATAAGAAAAAGGGCGAGAGGTATGACGCCTTGGGGAACTCCTCGCTGTTTTCCATGTCACCGGAGTGAATACATGTACAAGGGCTCACGTGGCCGTCGAGTCCGTTCCTCTGCTGTGACTTTGCGGTATTCTCGTCGCTTTGGGCGCGGTTCTCGGGCGCGTAATGCGGGAAGTGCTTCTGGAGGGCGGCGGGCAGAGGCGGCAACGGGTACAGGCGCTGCTGTTTGCAGTAGCGCTGTAACAAACGCCGTGGACGTAGCGAAGTGTAATCCATTGCGCAGACACAATGGTTTAGATGCAATTGTCGACCGATTATGGGTTTATATAGAACAAAAAGTATGCTCCATTAACGGTCGCTCTACGCCTAGGTTGAGTATTTCCGTGTGTGCGTATATGAAACAAGAGCCATTTCCGAGTACCAAAGTCGTTAACAGACTCTTAGAAAGGTTTTATGTCTATTGCCTCAGAATTCAGTCATTAAACCGATATTGATTTTTTTTGTTGAAAGGTTCTCAAGAGGGCATTTAACCTTGTATTGTAAATGTTTCAAGATAGGTGTTGAAGATGGAGTGCCATCTCCGGCACCTATCTCGAAAGCTTGCTAACTGGAAAGACGTCATGTGCGGAGACGATAAGAATATAAGAGCGGCAGGTGGGAACGCTCACGTCGACGGCCCTCAGCAGAGCGTGTTCCGGCCGCGCATGCCGCCTCGCCTCTTCTAGAAGGAGCGCGGCGTGCGCCAGCGTCCTCTGCTCCTCTTCGCGCAGCTTCCTCTCGGCCTCTTCGCCGTAGAAGTGCAGCCTCTCGGCGCGTTCTCTAGCCTCGCGCTCCTCACGCTCCTTCTGCACACACATCATGCACTAGGAGACACTCGCGTCTATTATAATCTTCACCAATCATCTGGTGCTAATATGAGTGGCTTCTGCGAATTTTAGTTTTTTTTTTATGAGAAGTTGGCAAGCGAGCCGGTTGGTGGTTTTTAAGTAATAACCATCGGCCATGGACATTTGGGAAACCCGTACGGTTGCAGACGCTTTGCCACATTTTAATAAAGTGGTCTCTACTTACTACTACTCACCAGACGAAACGCAGAAGTTTAACACTTCCTCAAACGGACCTGCCCATTCGTACAACAGCGATGCAACAGATGACCGTTGTATGGCTCTACCAAAATTTAAATAATAATATTTAGTGATTGAAAGATTTTTTTTATAGTGCTAATCTCTGCACTTAAGATTTTCGTCGTTGTGACAATCAGCCGTTTAGCTCAGTGACCAGTCCGGCCGCGAATGCCGAAGACGTGGGTTCGATTCCCACAGCGGCGACAATCTTTTCGTACTTTTTCTACAAGTTTTAATATTATTTAGTATTTGACTCAGTGTGTAGCTCTACCACAGTTTTAATTATTGTATTTGACTTCAGTGTTGCTTGCTTTCTCTTTGTATGGCCTATGGGAGCCGGTGTTAGATGTGATGAATGATCGTATTGATGGGCTCTAGTGAGCTGCTTACTAATAAAAACTTTTATCAATTACTTAATATTCAATTAAATTTACTTTAAGATTATACTCGGAAGAGAAACAAAGACAAACTGAACTCTTCAATGAATTGATCCTTTCGAACATCTGTCTATTTCCTTCATAAAGAGTCGACTCAAGCAGTTATATGTTTATATATTACAGAAGGCAATCATTTAAGAAAACTCTTTTTACTACGCTTATAAACACAAACAGTAGAACATAAGTTTCAAAACGCCATATAGCAATTTTTAAAGAACTGAACTAATGTATTCTTCAATAAATTAATAATCAATGGTAAATTTTTTTTTAATTTACAAAGTACTTTTTTATGACGAAGACAAAGTAAATATACGTTTCTTCCTCAAAATCTAACCCATAGTCTCAGCAGCTCTTCTCTGTGCTCCTTAGTTTTCCTCTCCTTCTCCTCGCGTTGTTTCGCCAAGTAGTCCTCGTAAATTTCCAAGTTCTTGAACCTATCAAGTCGTATGTTATTAAGAAATGATTCGAATGTAACATTCGCAATTTGAGGAGGATTGTACAACATTGACTATATAGTTGAAATGACGCTAGAAAATTTATTTGTGCTTTTGGTGTATTTTGACGACCATGTAGTGATGCGACATTAAGAAATTTCTTTTTCCGATTTACTCACTAATGTTAATTCCTATGGAAGATGTATGGTAAATAAGCGTTTACTGAGTCGCATCAGGTCGGGGTTTGCAGCAGTTCCTAATTAAAAATCACACGAGCTCTCTTTTCTCTTATCCCTGTATATTTTCAAACGATTACTCGTGTGTTTTTATCACTGAGCAGTCTACTGAAATACAACATGTATTAAAACTTGGAGAAATAACGGACAGAAATCCCGCGTCTCCCCGATTCGAGTCCCGCAGCGGCGAAAGACTCTACGTCCACTTTTTCTACAAACTTCTTAATCTTTCATCTAATAGAAGCAATGGCGACATCCTTCGTATGATAATTGTAAAACGAAACTCGAAATTGTGTGCTTGTCTGATCCAGGAATTTACGATGTCCATAACACACCGTAAAACAATGACGTGATTAATTTACAAAATAGCCGCTCCGCCACAGCGCCATCTATAGAAAGCGGCGAAAGGCGTCACCTGTTGGCGAGGTGCCAGGCGCGCGTGGCGTGCTCGTGGCGGAGCCGCCGCTCCTCCTCGCGCAGGAACTCCTGCTGCAGCCGCAGCCTCTCCCGCTTCAGCCGCGCCTGCTTCTCGAGCCGCTCCTGGCGCAAAGCCTCCGCCCTTCGACGGATCGAATCAATTCAAACACGTTTATTCAATATAGATGCATTACACTCGCTTATTGATTGCCAAAACGCTACCACTGCGACACCTATATTGGAATGTCTTCTGTTTGCCAGTTTACTCTTAGTAACAACTCGTTCGCCAAAGCCGCCTGGCTAACAGCAAACTACACAACACTTAATAGGCACTGGTCGGGCGATAGTCCACACTGGAATCGGTCCAGAGATGCTCGAAATGATGATGATGATTCATAGATTAAGTTGGAACTAAAAGTTTGAATTCTAATATGATGATTGCCACCATTAAATATGAAATGTAATCATTTCATCCAAACTTCGTGTGTTCCTCGACATTTATACGAACTTCTGTTCCTTCTCTTTGACAGCTTTGTCCAATATCTCTTGCTCTCTGGCCTCCCGCGCCGCGTCCCCAGACTCCAGCTTCGAACTGATCTTCTCCAAGACACGCAGCTTTTCTGCTTGGATCTGTTCAGACAGTACGTAATGGGCATATGCACATATTACAAATTAGATCATTGTCAAAAGAATTTAGGTCGTGAGAAAGGAGATGTGTATAATGTACATAATCTATACGTAACGTAACATTCTGTATATATGACACCTCAGTTCCACTACTGGACGTAAGCGATCATACATTATTTGTCAAATAATTAAGCATAAAAAGGCACATAAAAAAGTCGCCTACAATGTTGCTCACTAAAAGCAATACATAACGCAAACAGCTACGCGAAGAGTTAACACAGCGTACGCACGTAGATAACCAATGCACTACGCACGTAGCTGCAAGGTACGTAGCGCTACGCGCTAGAGACACAGCTACCTCCTTCTCGGTCTGCTTCCGCTTGCTGTCTACGCGCGCTTGTGAGCGGCGTAGCACCTCGAGCAGCCGCTCGTCCATCCTCTCGCGCGCCTCCCTCTCCCCCCTCCGCGCCTCCGCCTCTTGCCGCGACCGCTGCATGTCCGCCAAAATGCGCGCCTTCTCGGCCGCTTTCTTTAACGTGTTTCTTTTGTTTTTGTATTTGAAACGACCATTTGGATATTTCTGCCCTGAATCGAGTTGCGATATCCCATAAAATTCATAATCAAAATCAAAAATATATTTATTCACATAGACGCACGCTTGCGCGTTCACATGAAATGTCAAAAATTTTACATAAAAATTAATACGTTCGTAAGTTACCACCGGTTCGGAAAGCAGTTTTTATTGAGAAGAAACCGGCAAGAAACTCAACAGTTGCTCTTTTTTAAAACGATTAGTTTACAATATAATAGAACAAGTATGTCATTTTAGTCTACGTGAGTATCAACAGCATTTACCCCACACATTGGCGTCGTCAAGATATTCTGCAATGGTATAATATGCCTTGGCCATAAGTTCGCTTTTAATTTTGCGTTTAAATTCATCTAGTGGGATATTTTTAAGTAGCCCCAGCATATTGAGGTACCCTTTAGAGGAGAGGCCACCAATGTGTCTACACGATTAGCGTACCTTTGCAGAACTGGTTAAAGCTGTATTCAAGAATGAATAGGAATGAATAAATAAAAAAAAAATAATATGACCAAAATTTTGTATCTTGAATCTAGCAACGTATTGGTGTTTTATTATTTGTAGGAATGCTTGATATTCATCGATATTTAATTATCATCGTCATTTAGAGTAAATAGCATCCTTAATGCTAGTACAAGACGAAATGGTCTTTAATAACACATACCGAATTACTAAAATAGCTGTAAACTAAAGCTATACATAAAACAAGAACTTGCATTTATTTGTTTCCACATTTACACTTTAATATATCAGACTTTTAAATCCATACTCGTTTAATAACATCAGTAATATCATAATATAATAACATCATCGGTTTGTGACAATTACGTTTTACAAATGTGCCCAATTTCTTATGTCCGCCTCTTATATTGCAAAAATAAAATCACAAGTTGTCAAGTCTTTTCACCCTATTATATATAAGAAAGCCTAACCCTAATAGAGCTGTCAGATGGAGTCAGAGTCATTTGATGTTTGCTCGTAATCTATACAAAAACAGATGATTCACTGAGATTCGAACACACGGCATTCGCGTCGCAAACCTGACATCTAAGCCGCTACTTCTATATAAGAATTCTAGATAACTTCTATATAAGAGGAGTTATTTATTAAAAGTATTTGAATGCATTAGCCAAAAAAGATCTTACGAAATCCTGTTCAAACTTCTTTATGGCCGCCATCTGTTCATCGGCCTTCATGTTGTCGATCTTCTGCAGGTTGAGCTCAGTCTCGTACTCTTTCATGTTTCGTTCTGCGACTTCCCTGGCTCTAAATAAATTGTGGGTAGCGATAAAAAGCTGCGAATTATCAAGAACATCATCATCATCGTCCTGCCCTTATCCCACCTTGATGGGGTCGGCACAACATGTGTTTTTTACTACCGGCCACCAGCCTCCTTAACCCTCCTTGGGAAACAAACACCCAGATCCGGAACAATTATCTGTGGGTCGCACAAATACTTGTTCCGCGTGGGAATCGAAACCACGACTCCCAACGCCGAAGCCAAGAGCTTAGCAACGGTGCCATCGAGTCACCATCGAGATCATCTCAGTTTATTGTCTAGCATAAAATCCAGACTTTTAAAAAAACTATAATATACAAACTGCATAATTTCAAATTCAAATTTTAATACTGCACCTCGGCAATGCGTTACACGCAACACACCGCAGAGGTCAGTAATCAGTTAGTTAGTAGTAGAGGGTAGTTGTTAGCCCCTAAACTGTACGAAACATACTGCACGGATACGGCCATTACGTACCCAACGAGCGAAGTAAGATCGTACAGTGTCCGCAAGAGCGACGATATTAAATCCTATATTGTGTTGAGTCACAATTTTGTTTAGAACGGATTCGAGGAGGGTAAGGGTCTATCGACCTCCTGGCGCCTGGCTCAATTTGCTTTAAGCAATGGTGTTTACTATTATAGATGACACATGGCCATGATGCGCGGCGTTTAAAACTTGTTCCGCTTTGCATTAAATGACATTCGTGACAAGTTAATGTGACAGATGATATAGAACGTGTGATACGGAAAGACACAGCAGTCTATACAGTTACAATCTAAATACAACGATTGGTGTAATCAGAGCGCCTCAATTTCGGTACGCCATTGTCATATCCACCTCGTATTTGTATACAATATCACTGTCTTCAAGTGCAAAGAGACTCACTGATCGACTATCTCCCTCTGGTGTTGTTTGTTGGCCTCGAAGCGGCGTCGCTTCCTCGTCTCCATCAGCTCGTTCCACTCCTTGGCTTTGCGCGCCGTCTCCTCGTCGTCCTGCCGCTTCTGCTCGGCCTCCTGGTGGCGAAGCACCCTGAAGAACTTCAGCTGCTCCTCGCGCTCTTTCTGCGTCACCGTCTCTAACACTGCCCTGTTACAGCGTTTCGGAAATTGTTCAATACGTTTTTGTTGACGGTACGTTTTCCGAACCTATGTCGAGATATAAATTAAAGAATTTGACAAATTTGTACATAATTAGTTTATAATTAGTATTTCTGATGTTTCGAACCTTATAGCGTTATCTCTTTGGGCGAACAAATTAGATATGTTATAATGGATATTAAGTATGTTGTTTAGTATCTATGTGTCAATCGTAGGTATATCGAAGCTACTGAATGGAAGATTAGAGTTGTATTTCTTCTAGTCTATCTATTAGATCGGATACCAAATTCTGTTCAATATTCATGGCCAGAAAACGTGTTTTTTTATTTTTGTTAAATCGACACTTCATTTTTCAACTTTAACGTTCAAAGGTTTTAATAGAGCAATATATAATAGACAGTCCCCTGCGAATCGTTAATGTAATAATCTCCTTATAACCACGGACCAGCTCGACAATCACGGACACTGGATGGACGGAAAAGAGTCGGGCGAATCACTCAAGCGAGTCGAGGGTCCTGTGCGGTCTACGTTTCACGTTGATTTACCGCAGGAACATCTTGGGCGTGTCCTTGTTCTTGAACATGGCGTCCCTGGCGCCGTGCAGCAGCCGCTGCTGCTCCTGCCTCTTGCGCCTCACGTACTTCTTGTAAAAGTTGGCGTTCGCCTGCTCGGCCGCCTCCACGCGCGCCCGCCTCAGTTCTTCGTTGCGTTTGTTCACATTCTACCGGTCGAGTGGAAAACGCGTCTACAATTAGGATGCCGAGTGTTGTAAAGTGTAAGAGGCTGTGATAAGAATGCTCGCCTTTTAATTCAATATACTCGTGCAATCCGAGTTCGATCCCCGGTGCCGGCACCGATGAAATTGCGATAGAATGCTTGCCCAATTACTTTCACTTTACAATAAAGTTAAATTGTAGACATAAAATCGCGATATTAATCGAATTTCTGACTTTACTGAACGTACAAACTTGAACGACATGAACTATGTGACAGGGTTTCATGGATGTATACCTATTTATAGTTTTTGGTACGCGCGAATTATCGACCTTAAGATATGGGAAAATATTGGTACCCCCAAAGGAGATTACCGCCCATTTACTCCCACGCAACTCCAACATCTCAGCTACAAGGGTGCCGCTGCTTTGCTTCATTTATACAACAGTACCTGGAGGGCCAGACGCTCTAGCCACTGAGCTAAACGGCTGATAGCCACAGTGACGAAAATCTTAACGTTTTCTTTCTACATTGTTATTTAGCATTTGAAGCAATGCTTGGCGCATCTATTGTTTATATCCCTTCCAGCATACAAACAATTTCGAATATCGTTTTACAACGATAATTCGAACGAGAGATGTCGCCATTGTTTTTTATAAATTTTAAAGATTTTTTTTATAGTGCTAATCTCTGCATTTGAGATTGAACATTGTATGCTGGAAAGGATATAACAATAAATGCGCCAAGCATTGCTTCAAATGCTATATAACAATGTAGAAAGAAAGCGTTAAGATTTTCGTCGCTGTGGCTATCAGCCGTTTAGCTCAGTGGCTAGAGCGTCAGGCCGCGAATGCCGAAGACGTGGGTTCGATTCCCACAGCGGCGACAATCTTTTCGCACTTTTTCTACATATTTTAATGTTCAACTAAGTCCTATGTTATAACTCATATTGAACACTTCGATGTATAAAAAGACGAATGTAACCTCCAAGGAGTTGGGCCAAGACTTAGTCATGGCGCGGCTGGTGTCGTGTAAGTACTGGATGTACTCTTTCTTCCGTAAAGACTCCGCGTTCTCTCGACCTGCGTCCGTCCAGCTCACGATGCGCGACCATTCTTCCTTGCCCATCACTATTGGCATGACGATGTCTAAAACCGTTAAATAATCATTTACAAATAAATAAGTACTGTGGTTTTAAAAATAAGTAGTAGTAGTGAAGTTTCAACATTTTACATCAATACATCAATAAAAAAAAAGAAAAATATCTTAGAGGCCAATGATATTATATATGAATACGAAGTAGATACATTTATGAGGCACTCAAATTACGCCAATTGGCGTAATTAGATTGCAATTATATAGACTGCTATCTCTTTTCGTATCACACGTTCTACATATCACGTTCACCTAAATAATATCATATTACGTAAAGCGGAACAATTTATAAACACCGCGCTGTATGGATATGCATCATCTATTGTTAGAGGCAATCAATTTTTTTATGCGTACAAGTCCTGAAAACCTGTTTACTTTTAAAAACAAAATTACATCACCTTCGATATTAATTTTGGTAATTAATTAATTTTTCTACGTTACATACCTTTTCTTTTTTCCTAGTACGGTTCGAATTCTATGCTTTTTTCTATATGTTCAAATGAAGATGTATATGGGACTTGCGTGCTTAAATGTTGACAAATAATTTATTGACATCTTCTCTTCTTTTTACTGTCCAAACGCTGCCAGCATTTTAATAATAGTTATTTATTTAACATAAATTTTTATTTGGTTAAATTATTTTAAAAAAAGCCTTTACATGTAAAATGAAATAGTTATGCTGTTGCTATAGTAACACAATGTGATTATAAAGGTCTCATTAAGTTTGTAACATGGACGATATACTATAATCTTTGGTTATAGATTTAATACTTGGTTTAACATTTATACAGAACGTTTATTGAAATTATTACTTGACATATTACTATTTGAAAAGTCTGTTGTATTTTAAATATTTCAGTGATGAATAAAGTAAAATGTTTTAACGGAAAACTTAAAAAGTGCTGTGGCGCACACACTCATTTATTTTTTTTTGTAAATTGTTTTCTGACATATTCGCATTCTTTATAATCTGTGGCACTGCGGATCCATCATTGACGTTCGCTCTAACAGACACTCGAATTTAATATTGGGTCCGTTCCGGCTCACAGATTTCCATTTCTATAATAGCAGATACTGTGTCATCGGTTAGGCTTATTGTAAATAGTCATTACATGCCATTTATTTCCGGGAAGTTATTTCATTCGATCTCATCCAACACTCACGATCTTACCCCACACTCACCCTATGTAAGGAACAAGATGATGGGGCAACGGGATGTTTTACCGACATCTTCAGTGCAGTGCCAATAAAAAATTGTCACGAATATTGCTCCCCGTTACGATTACTTGTTTTTTTTTACAAAGAAGCAGACAATAAAGCTGGTGTCAGTAAACATTAGTAGTCTTTCGCTTGTGCTGTGCATCCATGATGACACTATCTTATAAACGTTTTCGACGGTCCCCACAAGTTGACGACCGCATTTAACGATTTAACTCTCTTGCCGCTTTCCGATAATGCGTCGTTGACTGACCGATATGCGCCAACGAGCTTAGTCCGGCAAACACCACATTCACTCTCAAATCGATAGTAGGCACAGCACGTTCGGCAACAAACGTGAGATTCCACTATTCACAGCCTGAACACGATATTTTTGTCTTGTTATTTAATAGCGTGTAACGTAGTTAATTATGAAACTTTTCACTTTCGTACATTATTGTTTTCTTACAGGCATTATTTTCGGAAAACTTGTTTTTCTTAAATAATTTAATTATAGTAAACAAATTGTATGTTATGTCTCGTGTTTCTATCGTAATTTTGCTTTCTCTGAATAGGGACCATTAACAATTAGTCCAAGCCGAGGTTCCAAGCTCTAATCTCTATCTACCCGTGGACCGTGTCGTGTCCGTGTCGCCCCCTTAGTTTCCAAATGACAATCTTACGTTTACAATACAAGGGATGTGGAGATGTAGCGGTGCGGATAGTGCCATCGCTTCGTCGTCGTGCATCCACTTCATTGTTCTCCTGAGTTCGCGAGTCATCTGCCTGCAGACCTCTTCCAATGAAGCCGTCAACGCCATCGGGATAACAGCAAACTGCACAAAAAAAGATCGCGCTACTTTGACATTTAAAGGTAACTTGTCAATAATTATTTTTAATCTGTAATTGGCTAAGAAATCTGTCAAATCGGTAATATTTACGTCAGCCACGTTGGAAGTGCCAACTCGGTGTTTTTATGGTGAATACCGTGTAACAATATTGTTATTACGTTTATTTTAATAAGAAAACCTATTTTAGTACATCAGTAAAACACTGACGAGTCAAAACCAAAGATCTTTGTTTACATTGGGATAGTTTTTCTCTATCCGTACTGGTGACATAATTCGGCAGTGTAGTCGGTTTACGGCAAGTTATCTATTGGAGTTATTGTGTTTTGCAGTGAAATTGTGGTTTCAAAATGAAGATTAAAGAACTGAAGAAGACTGTTAATGTGAGCTGGTCGCCAGCGGAGCATTATCCCATAATGCTCGCGGCCGGCTCCGCTGCTCAGCAAGTGGATGCTTCCTTTAGCTCCAATGCTTCGCTGGAACTTTACTCCTTGAATTTGGAGGAACCCGGAATGGATTTAGAGCTTAAGTCCAGCTTGCAGACACAACATAAGTGAGTGTTTAATTCATCAATGTGGCTAAATGATTTATTTTACTTCATAAATAAATTGCAAATGAAACCAATTTTTACGGATTTATTGCGTTTATTTTTAATTTTAATTCCCGACGTTACGAACCCTTTACAGTGTTCGTGGTCTATCCCGTAAAAATTAGTTTCATGTATATTACAATTGTTGATGAAGCATACTGTGTAGTATTTTAAAGTAAAAATAGGCAATATATATAAGCTAAATCTAATGCGTTATGTCAAACTGACGAATGAGAAATATTTTTTTCTTATAAGAGCCATTGTGTGACCCATGTTTAGATAATGAATGTTTTTTTAATTAGTAAAAAATATATTTCAGATTTCAAAAAATTGTTTGGTCAGGAGCTGGAGTTATTGTAGGAGGATGTGATGGAGGCCTTCTTCAGTTCTACAATTCTGAGAAATTACTGAATAACTCCACAGAAGCACTTGTTGGAAGTAGTACAAAACATAATGGTATGGTATTCAAAAGAATGATGATTCATTATAAATACCAATTTATTACATAGAAATAAAAATTACATAGCTTTCTGCATCCCTCACATCCATATCTTATCCTTTAAACGAGCAATTCTTGTATATATATAATCGGAATCTCGGAAACGGCTCCAGCGATTTTCATGAAATTTAGTATGTGCGTAGATTCGGGGGCGAAAAATCGATCTAGCTAGGTTTAATTTTTAGAAAATGTCCTTTTATCCCTGTTTTCAGTGAATGAAAAATATCATTCGAATATGATGGTAAATTTCGCCGCAAGAGAAAATGTCATAATAGCTCAGTCGGTAATCGAGCGGCCCCAAAACAGACGGCCGTAGTTCGCGTCACGATCATTTACACATTTATTTTTTTACTTTCTTTTCGATTCCAGATCATTGCTTTGTTTATTTTTAATTTTTTGTCGATTTGTTATTTTGTTATTTTTTTCCCTTTTTTTTTAAAGTTCTTTCTTTTGTGAAAAACACCAGTTCATATTTTCTTATTATTACGTCGGTAAGATCGAAAAAAATATTATGCATATTTCATTACTCAGTAATTTGTATCTAAATGTAATTTCCAAAATACACGGCATTCTTGGCACCATGCCGCGTGGATTAGGTTTATTACATAATATGTAATTTTAGATAGATTTATTCTTGTAAATATTAGATCAGAATAAAGTTCAACTATATACCTAAAAAAAAAAAATTGATAGTCGTAGATTATATCTAGATCTAATGAATTGCAGTTTCATTGACAAGATAGTAAGAGAGTGCACAGGTTACCTTGCCCAAAAAAATTATAGTATAAATACCTTCAAAACTGCTGCATTCTTGTTGGTTAATTTTTACTCTGTACTTTTTACTCCTTGGTAAGAAGATCAGTAAAGTTGAAACAGTTTAAAATGGAAAAAACTGTGGAAAATAATGTTGTTTTTGTAAATCAATAAACCTTTGTTACTTCTTGTTCATGGTAAATCCTGACCTAGATAATTTTATGACAATGTGTTATTGGTTAATTGTTCAACCGCCCTCTGCTCTGATAGTGTTATCATAAAATTTGTAGTTGCTATGGTAGTGAATTTATGAAATTATTTATATAAATTATTTATATAATTGTTAGGATGCTTTTGGTATAATGGATTCTGAGGAAGAAACATAATTTTCAACATGCCAATTGCCATAGAAATATTATTGACTAAAATAAATAAATACATTTAATAAACTGCTAGGCATACATTAAATAAAGGTTTACACTTAATTTTATTTTTATTTTATTCAAGTTAAAAGACAATATTCAATTTTGATAGAAGTCCAAATAATCTTGTCAATAAATCTTACTATATTCTTTATATTATATCTGAGTACAGAGTAGTGAAAATTTTATACATCATGCAGGCCATGTGTCAGCGCTTGACATCAATCCCTACCAGAGGAACCTGCTCGCATCAGGAGCTTCGGAGAGTGAAATCTTCATCTGGGACTTGAACAACACAAGTCAGCCAATGGCACCGGGAAATAAAAATCAGCCATTCGACCATGTACAAGGCTTGGCTTGGAATCAGCAGGTAAATTCAAGCTTTCCTTATGTTTTTGTAAATAATCTTACAGTGGGGGTTCTACACATTTTATTTTTCCTATTCAACATGATAATGCACTAATGCTTGGAAAGAAAATGTGAAATAGTTAAACATGAAGTAAGTTAGCACGTCATAACCGCGATTACTGCAGACTCAGCACGGCGAAGGCGCATCGAAGGAACGCTGACACCATTAGTTTTAGTTCATAAGTTTTTTGTAATTATAAATCAGTCCATTCCAAATTGTCATACAGTTAACACCTTGTAATTAATTAAATAAATCTTTTTTTATTGGAATAATACCGATCGCCGATTACTTAACTGGCGCAGTCGGTAGGATCGCAGCACTTTCGTATTGAATCAAATTTTCTATTACGATTGTGTCACGGTTCTCAAATCGTACCTTGAGCGATCCTAAAGAACCTCAATCGCGCGATCGGGCAAGGACTCGTCAGGAGATGCAGAACATCCTGGGGTAAGTACTCTAGTTATCCAAGTGTTCCTGCTCTATTTCCTGTCTTAATTTAGGTATTTTTTTTTTTTATTATTGAGTGTGTATGTC